GCAACGCACTCAATCCAACAGCAGGGCTCATTCATTGACTCCCTGCCATGCCGCATCGCATGTGTACTCATGATGCCAGGACTCGTCAAATGATGCGCTTCGATGCACTGATCTCTCACCATTTTTCCCTCTCCACCAACCCCCCCCTTTTCTCCACGTTCCCCCCATACTTTCCTCTGCACACGCATTCCCCGTCCATTGCTCCTCCAACCCCTTTCAGGGCCCCACCATCTCACGGGTGTATTTACGGGGCGATGACTCATCCGATGGAGCAGCGGGGATCAAAGTGGATAACTTCTCAGCTGTACTGTCCCCACTCCCCACACTCCCCCTTTCCCCCTCAACCCCATACAGGGCCCCACCATCTCACGAGTGTACTCGCGGGGCGATGACTCATCAGATGGAGCAGCAGGCATCAAGGTGGATTACTTCTCAGCCACCGTGGTGGTGCCTCGTGCGCAGATCTACAAGTCTATCAGGGAGCTGCGCAAGGTGGGTGAGACTAGTGGGGTTCGGAGGAGCGTAGAGTGGTTGAGAGCGGTGATGTGTCAAGGTGGACTACTTCTCAGCCACCGTGGTGGTGCCTCGTGCCCAGATCTACACCTCCATCCGGGAGCTCAGGAAGGTGAGTGGCTCAGCTGAAGAGGGGTGTAGAGCGGTGATGTGGGAAGGTGGACTGGTGGTGCCGCGTGCGCAGATCTACACGTCTCTTCGAGAGTCGCGCAAGGTGAGACTTGTTGGATTCGGAGGGGCTTAGAGTGGTTGGGAGCGGTGATGTGATGTGTCAAGGTGGACAAATTCTCAGCCTCGCGCGCAGATCTACACGTCTATTCGGGAGCTGTGCAAGGTGGGTTGGTGGGGGGAAGGGGAGGAGGGGGGAGGGGAGGAGGGGGGAGGGTCGGGAAGGGAAGGCATAGAGTAGTGAAAATAGGAAGGTGGAGTGCTTCTCGGCGACTGTGGTGGTGCTGCGCGCCTAGATCTACACGTCTATCAGGGAGCTGCGCAAGGTGGGGGTTGGAAGGTTGGGGGGGCTTGGAAGGGTGTCAGGTGGTTGGGAGCGGTGATGTGTGAAGGTGGATTACTTCTCAGCCACTATGGTGGTGCCGCGCTGAGGCCTCTGTGCCACCTTATTCCATTTGCCATTTTTCGTTTCTGCAATGCAGGCTGGTGGAAGTGGCGTGCTGGTAACACCTGTTACATACATTTTCGATGAAGAGCCTAAGCGTTGGAAGAAGCTCCTCAGCGAAATTGGTCTTTAGGTTGTGTGTTGTTTTCAACTAAGAGGCTCACCATTTTTGTGCTGTTGAAATGGAAGCGGTCCGGGTGCTTGTGCGCAGCAGCTATGATCAGCTTTTAGTTTTAGAAAGAAGAGGCTTCTTGGAGCAAGCTGAAGTACCGGTAGTTGAAACGTACAGATGCCGGCCACTCCAAAGTCTGCACTCGGGTTCCGTTGTCGCAGGACGATTGCCTGGGGTTGCGAGAGTTTCTTCAAAACAAGTAGGGTAACCCTGTTTTTTGCGATTTCAAGTTCAAGAATCTTGAACTTGAAAATTACCATGCTGTACCCGGGCTTTAAATGCATCGACCCCAAACGTCTACCATGTTCAGTTGTGATGTGAGCTATTATGGTTCTTTACGGCATGAGATCCACCATTCGCGCACGTGTAGAGTTAGTGTGGGTTTTTTGAAGTGCATTATTGTTGCTGTCTTAGAGTGTTGCAATGCTTACTTTCAACTAGCCACACACTCTCATGCACGTAATTAATTGATTGCATGTAGGATATGCTGTATTTGTTTTTCTAATGCATGTGGCAGATCAGTGTCAGAAAAAAGTTTCGGGTGTATTGATGCACGTGGACGTCGTCACCACTCGGGCATGCCGAGGTGGATTTCCGCCAGCAAGGCGAAGCAATACTCACACTACATTGACCCAATATGAAGACTCACAGCACGACAATTTCAGCCAATTAAATTCGATCTTCGCTGTTGACCTGGCCAGCTCGACCACGAACTTGCCTGAGCCGTAAAAAGTCTTCCCGATAGCTGGAACTGACTCACACCGTGCTGGCACCGCCAAGTCAGCGCAGGTCACCGCAACGCCTGCCTATTCTAATGGACCGCGCCGTGCTGTGGGTTTCCTTCCATCACCCCGCCCCGCACCATTCTTGGATCCCCTTGCAGCAATTCAATATAAATCTGTTGGGCCTCGTCCTTCATCCCACACAACTTTTCCCTTACCCATTCTGCACAATTAGTACTCGCGCCACTTCAGTTCCCAGCATCACCTTTCATTCACTGAGCTTCCGCAAATCCAACTCGTGGGATCACTCTTCGCGTGCGCCCGAAATTCCAAGGAAAGATCGCAATTTGAAATGGCTGAGCAGCAGGTTCCGAACATGCAGGGCATGAATGCTGGAAGTTTCAACGCAGCTCCACCGCCACCCCAGTACGCCGCGCCAGCGCCACCACCAGCGCCAATTAATTCGGCGGGGTGCTGTGCGGACGGGTGCTGCGCGAACAACAAGCGGTCCCCGCTGTACACGTGGCTTCCTTTCGGCCTTCGCATCGGCCTCTTCTTCTTCTGCCTCATCACTTTCAGGTGCGCTCGTCGCTTGAATTAACTCATCGTTCAATCAATTTTCACTCACATTCCCATAGTTGTTTGCATACCTCCCGGAAACGCGAAAAATATATAATTTTGTTGAACTGCATACCGCCATCCCGCCCTTATCATTCATTTCTCTTAATTTTTGTTGTCCCTTTTCTTTGTCACTCCGCAGTCTGTTGTTCGCGACCAAGGCGACAGTGACGTCGTACAGCGCGGGCGCGTTTCTGGTGGGAATGAGCATTCTGGGGTTCATATTCGCCGTCATGCTCCTCGTCTACAACTCCGTGCGCATGTGCGTCGCCGGCTCCGAGTCCTACGATTGGCTGATGGACATCGTGCAGTTCTTCGAGTCCTACGTGAGTCCCTCGAGCCGCATGAGTTGATCGAACCCTTGGGAACTACGCGAGTCCTACGATTGGATGATGGACTGGCGTGAGTCTATCAAAACATCATTGACTATTGAAGTGCCTAGTAGCAAACGTGTTATTTCTATCCTTCGTGAACACATGAGTTTCCATCATTTCTGTTCAACCCCTCCCCATCCCTGGATTCGACAGATAATGTCACTTCTGCTGTTTGCGGCCGCCACGTCCGCAGCAGCCGCTTGCAACACCTGGTGGAACACAAGCGCTCTGAGCGGGTACGTTCCTCTTTGAAACATGCTATAACTTCTAGCGTACCTACACACTCCAATGAATGTAGTAAGTTTTAGCGGTTTTGCAATTTCCAAAGTTTGCTTTCCTTTCTCCTCGCCTCGCAGTTATCTTCTTGGAGATATCAGTGGCATCAGCGCCAAGGACCTGCTCGCCTTATCGGGCTACAGCGACACACTCACTGGCGCAATAGACTCTAAGACCTTAATCAATCAATACATTGATAACATTAACGCGGATGTGAGCAAGGTTCGTGGTGCATGCGCCATGGCGTATTTCGCTGCCTTCATCTACATTGCGATGTTCTGGTACTACACCCTCCGCATGTACAAGCGAGGTGTGCTCAAGGCCATTGCCGATGCAGCTGTGCCGGCAGCAGTCAAGGACAACGTGCCTCCTTACAATGTGTGAAACCTTTTGCTGATTACTTTAGAGCAGTATGTCTCATCAGTTGTACTTATGGTTGGGGGGTGGCATGCTTGTTTTTGGGGTCATCGTATGGTGTTTGTGTCATTGTTGGTGCTTGTCTGTCTGGTCTGGGGCTAAAGGCAAGCAGAGCATAAACAAGTGCTCCTTAGGGCCCAGTAGGGTTCTGCTTCCTTCCAGTAAATGTATAGATTCAGTTTTATATGTTTTTTGCCTGTTTGGAGTTGATGTATATTCTGTTCAAAGGATGTACAGTATAGCTTTTTCATACTCAAACCTCGTAAATAATGATTGTGAAACTAACGGGACCAAGTAGGTACACTGCCGAGCACAACATACGTACTACAAGTGATTTCTTGGCTATGGACGTTTTGAATGCCCAGGCTGCTACTAAACTACAGCTAATGCTGCACCTATAGAACCTTGTACTCTACAGGTTGTGGTTGCTTGCCACACCACAGCTTGCAACACACCCTCCTACTACTGCTGCACCTGCTGCTGCTCTTGCTACTGCTGCTTCTGCTTCTTCAACTTCTGCCTTCCCACTGTAGCGCTCGGCTACACGATTCTTGAGTCTCACAACCCTCCAGGCCGACAGCATCTGTCCACTCCAGCCCAAATGGAGCACCTTCCTCCCTCCCGTCTCCAATGCAGAGGGCTTTTTTCCGAGAGGGTTCAACTCCAGGCCTCCGTGCACCAACCGCAGGTCGCCTGCTTCTCTTCCACCCAGTCATGGGGTAGCCATCCTCCCCCACCTCTCCACCCTTTCATACCCGCCCTTTGTCCAAGTTGACACATCCTTTATCCCTGACACACACCACACTGACATCTCCCTGACACCTCCTTGACACCTCCCTGACACCTCCTTGACACCTCCTTGACACCTCCTTGACACCTCCTTGACACCTCCTTGACACCTCCTTGACACCTCCTTGACACCTCCTTGACACCTCCATGACACCTCCTTGACACCTCCCTCGCACCACGCTGATACCACCACACACTCTAAAGCAGAAGCTCCCAGTTTTCACTCAACATGGTCTGAGTAGCCGCTCTCATCTCCTCGAACCACTTTCCCTCATGCACGTACTGCAGCAGCTCCTGATGCTGCACTCTCATCAGGAGATGCTGCACTAGAACGATCCTGCACACTCACCCACACCTCACCCACACCTCAGACCTCGCCCAGACCTCGCCCAGACCTCGCCCGGACCTCGCCCGGACCTCGCCCGGACCTCAACCAGACCTCGCCCAGACCTCCCCCAGACCTCCCCCAGACCTCATCCAGACCTCAACCAGACCTCACCCACAACTTAATTCTCCTCTAAGCCGCTGGGGTTTTTATGAGAGGCAGCCTCGAGCATCTGAAACCACTCCTCTGTGGCCCGGTCCCCCTCGCCCGCCCCCCACTCGTTCCGGCCCATGCCCTCGCCCTCCTCGCCCGCTATCAGCTCATCAGCCACGCCCTCGTCCGCAATGTCAAACTGCTGCGCGTACTGCAGCAGCTCCTGGAGAGACTCCTTCTCCCTCTTCAGCATCGTCACTTCCCGTGCTAGCTCTGCTTTCTCCCTCAACAAGCGTTCCACTTGCATGCGCAGCTGCAGAGAAAGGGGGAGAAGGGAAAGGGGAGGGTTGGGGAGGGGGGAAGGGGGTCATGATGGGTGGGAGGTGTAAGAGAGGGGATGCATCTGCAATCGGCTGATCAGTCTGTATTTCTGGACCCAAAACCACGTCTCAGTCTCACAGTTCTACAGCTAAGTGCAAGGCTCACAATGAAGGTGTCCTCCTGCGAGTTCCGCAGCCCCTCGTTGTCCACCTCCAGCCAGCCGCTCCACCACCTGCTGCTTCAGAGAATTTGCCTACAGTGGAGAGGGAGCGCTAGAGCCAAGGGCACGCTCGATAGACTTAGACTCACAATGAAGGTGTCCTCCTGCGAGTTCCGCAGCCCCTCGTTATCCACCTCCAGTCGCTCCACCTGCTGCTTCAGCTCCTCCACCTCCTTGACCAGATCGCTCTCCTCCTTCCTTGACCCCGACCGCACATATCTCTCACTCTTTGGAGCCTTCTGAAACAGGTAATAGAGGAGACGGGTGGGGAACGGGGTGGGGGAGGGGGTGGGAGGGGCTGTTTGAGGTAATAAGTGTCTTTCCTATATTAGGGAAGATGCTATTATCCATGTATTGCGATGTGGCTCCACCTGCTGCTTCAGCTCCTCCACCTCCTTGGACAAGTCGTTCTCCTCCTTGCGCGACCCCGACCGCACATATCTCTCACTCTTCGGGGCCTTCTGTCACAGATACAAAGGGAGAGGGATGGAGGATGGCGTGGGGGTCGAGGTGGGGGTGGGTAACGGGGAGAGGTGGTGGGGGTGGGGGAAGGGGGGGTGGTAGGGGCTGTGTGAGGTGCCTCACAGCTCCCCCACCTCCTTGGCCAGATCGCTCTGCGCCTTCGCGACCCGACCGCCCGTATCTCTCGCTCTTCGGGGCCTTCTGTCACAGGGTGAGAGGGGGAAGGGGGAGGGCGGAGGCGGGGGGGGAGGGGAGAGGGGGGAGGTGGGGGGGAGGAGGGAGGGGGGGAGTGGGGACTGTTTGAGCTGCCTTGTGGCCCCTCTACCTCCTTCTCCAGATCGCTCTCTCCTTGTCTAAAACCCGCTACTGTTCTCAAATGTGGATCACTTCCAGGAGTTCTCAAATGTGGATCACTTCCAGGAGTTCTCAAATGTGGATCACTTCCAGGAGTTCTCAAATGTTATCCCAGTGCAGTTGCTTCAAGCGCATTGTGAACCCCCTTCGCCACATCGATCTCTTCCTTTCTAAAACCCTAAGCCCAAATCCCTGAGCTAGAAACCCCATTGGCTGCACATTGTAGGGGGTCTTTAGCGAGACGGCACGGCATTTTATCTCCTCTCCTCCGCCTCCCTTTCTGCCTCCCTCCCTCAACCAGAACCAGCGGCTCCCACCCTCTTCCTTTATTCTCTCACTCCTTCCCTTCGCCTCTCGACGTGACATACCTTCCCCGCGCTGCCAGGGTCTCTATACCCAAGTTGCTTGGGTGATTCCGGAGGGGGCCCTCTTGCTGCCGCCTCCTCTGCTATTTCAGGCAGCAGGCGGAACTCGCCTGGGGGAATACAACAGGGAGCGAAAAGCAAGGGGGGGTGAGCAATGTAGGAGACATTTGAGGCGCCTCAGAATTCCTCTGCTATTTCAGGCAGCAGGCGGAACTCGCCTGGCGGAATACCAGCAGCGGGGGAAAAGGCACGGGGAAAAGGGGGGGGAGAGGAAAGTAAGAGACTTTTGATGCGCCTCAAAACTCCTCTGCTATTTCAGGCAGCAGGCGGAACTCGCCTGGGGGAATACCAGCGGGGAAGGGACACAAGGGGGAAACACACAAGAGAGAGAGAAACACTGAAGGAACACAATGAGGGGGGAAAACGGGTTGAACACAAGAGGGGGGAAAACGGGTTGAACACAAGAGGGGGAAAACGAGAGGGGGAAACACAGGAGAGGGGTGGAACCAGGGAAAGAGGGAAACGTTGGTAACATTTATCACTTTAATGAGGAAAAGAGGGCCTTATAGAGGGAGCTGGTCCACAAGCGCTGTATCCTCAGTGAACACCCCTCACTACTGTCACTCTCCTTACACTCACTACTTACCATGGTGGCCTCTGCGGCACTTTAGAAAGAAATGACTCTTATAGAGGGGGTTGGTCCACCCACCAGCGCTCCATCTTCAGTTGAGACCTATTTACTGCTACGTTACAGTCACACTCCTTATAATCACACTCACCATGGTGCCCTCTGCGGCACTTTAACGAGGAGAAGTGGTCCTTATAGAGGGGGTTGGTCCACCAGCGCTGCATCTTCTGCGAGCTGAAGGGCCCCTGCACATCCCCGTGCATGTCCACGTAGAACCACTCCTGGTGGGTACAGATGGGTACAGAGGGGCACAGAGGGGTACAGAGGCGAAAATGGCTAGAGAGAGCTGGGCGAGGGACGTGCGAGCTAGAGGGGCCTTGCACCTCGCCATGCGTGTCCACGTAGTACCACTCCTGGTGGGTGGAGAGGGGTGCAGAGGGGCGCAAAGAGGAGGAAAGGGCTGGGGAGGGGCACGTGTGAAGGGGCAGAGGGAGAGAGACATGTGTGGGCTGACGGGGCTGAAGGGGCTGAAGCGGCTGAAGGGGCTCATGCACCTCTCCATGCACGTTCACATAGGCAATGATAGGTTTGAGTAAAAAAGTCCCTTTCTTGAGCCTTAAACGCAATCTCACCTGTCCGGGCGTCTTGAACAGATTCGTGATTGGGTCGTCTGCGGAGATCAGGCTGACAACTGGCACGGCTGCTGACGCGGCGGCTGACGTGGCGGCAGCAGGGGACCCGTCTCGCCGCGGAGAGATCCCCGCCAACGCAGCTGCTGACGCGGCAGTGGCGGCCTCCAAGGACACTGCTGTCCGTGAAGGGGTTCCTGCTGATGCTGTCGCTGAGGCATCAGGGGGCGCCTGGTAGGAATGGGGAGTGAAGGGACGAGGGGGGAGCAGCTGCTGACGCGGCAATGGCGGCTTCCAAGGAGACTTTTGTCCGTGAGGGTGTTCCTGCTCCTGCTGTTGTTGCTGCGCCATCAGGGGCCGCCTGGTGGGAGCGGAGATACGGGAGAAGGAGAGGGATGGGGGGACGGAACAAAGGAGTCGGCAGTGGCGGCTTCCAACGAGACTGCTGTCCGTGAAGGGGTTCCTGCTGATGCTCTTGCTGAGGTAGCAGCGGCCGCCTGGAAGGAATGGGGAGTGAGGGGACGAGGGGGGAGCAGCTGCTGACGCGGCAGTGGCGGCCTCTAAGGACACTCTAAGGGGTCCCTGCTGATGCTGCTGCGCCATCAGGGACCGTCTGGCAGGAGAGAAGACGCGGGAGTCAATGTACAGTGATGGCGGATTCCAGAGGACACTCCTGTCCGTCAGGGAGTCCCTCCTGCTGCTGCTCCTGCTGCAGCAGCATCAGGGACCGCTAGGCGGAATTTGGGAGGCAAGGGGGGCAGGGAAAAAAAAAAAAAAAAAAATGTAAGTCGGACTGAATGTTTGTGAGCGGCGTGGCGCAGACCTGCCGGACAGGAGGGCATACCGTGCAGCGGTGGAATCAGGCCCGTCTGAAAGGAGTGGGGATGCGTCGCGAAGGGAGAGAGGAAGGAGAAGGGGTGGTGATGGAGGGAACAGAAAACGGAGAATTCTCAGGAGTGATACAACCCCTATTCATTGGTTTACTCGACCCCCTAATTCTAGGTTCATTCACCTGCACGTGTTACCCTGATCGCTCACCTGCCCGTGTTTCCCTGCTCCCTCACCTGCCCGCGTTTCCCCTGATCGCTCACCTGCCCGTGTTTCCGCGCGCGCAGCAGCTGTCGAAGGTCGAGCACGTCTCGCAGCGTGTGCCACCGCTGTGTGCCCTCCTTGCGAACCTGCACCCCCCCGGAACGAACGAACCCGCGGATTTATTGAAGTCACACTCGCGGTTTTTCGCAACAAGATGCAAAGTAGACACGAGAACATGCTTGTGCTGGTTACACTGCCAGCGTCGCAACACGAAAATCGCACATGAAGATGTAGGGTAAGCGAGGTAGGACGTCGTCGCGTCATACCAGGAGGTCGGGAGTGAAATAACCCTTCTGAAGCGCCTGCGTTAGTTGGAGGAGCGTCCGAGGTCTACAATGTGATACGAAGGAAAACGCCAAACGAAGAGAAGAATGAGGAGGTTAACAGAAGAATCCGGCCAACCGTACGAAATCGTATCAACAGCTCGAGGGAGACACGAGAACGTTCAGAAAGACGTTCGTGCGCCTCAAGGACGCATCACACCGTCCAATGCGCGACAGGCACCGTTCGATCAAGACAGGAGCACCGTTAGATCAAGACAGAGCACCGTTGGCTCTGGACAGGACCACCGTAGGATCAAGTGAGGAGCACCATTGGCACCGTCCGATCCGACGTACCCGTGCTCGCCAGCCCAGTCCTGGTAGTACCACTGCGGTACGTTCTGCCCCGTCGACGGCCTCGCATGATCCCCCGCGCCGTCTGGCCCCCCCATGATTCCCACTCCGGATTCCGGCTCCGGATTCCTGATTCCCGTATCTCGATTCCCGAATCCCAATTCCGAATCTTGATTCTCCCAACACCGATTAGTCAGAAATCAACGTGCAGCTCTTAGAGATGAAAATATCCGTGCTTCCAGCTCTCGACGCGGTTTCACTGTTTCCGCTGGAGCAATGGCGTCGATTCCTGGATTTTACGATTCTGAGGTTCTCTGTAAGGGCGGGGTCAGCGCGTTCATTTTCTTGGCTTAGCCCGAAACAGTTACCAGATTCAGCGGTTTGTAACTCTGATTTAGGGTAACGCGTGGACACGACGGAGTATACAGTGGATGAACGGTGTTTGTTTTCCGTGCCGTCAACCGAACAAAACACGTTCCTTAGACGGCCGCGAACAACCCGCGCATCATTCGAGAATGCCTGTGTGCAGGTCAGCGAAACCGCACCACGACTTCGTGAACCGCGTACGACCCTCGCAAATTCAAGGGTTCACAAACACAGATTCAAAATGCGCCCCAAAGCTGTGGGTGGCAGAGCAGTGCGGTTCGAGTGTCTGGTGTGCGCGAAGATTTGCCACCCAGAACAAGGTCGCACAGGGTTACCTCATTGGGTGGGCGGTTGCACAAAATTGTGGCGGGACCTTTGCCTAATTTTGGACGCGTGTGTCCCACCCTTGACACAAACCAAGCGCGGTACAGAACTGCTACAGTATCTTCCAGATTCGACGGGTGTCAGAATTTTGGAAAAGTGGCGAAAATGAACGCGCTGACCCCGCCCTAAGGACGCTAAGCGAAACGAGGCACACACAAGTTACCAAGGTAATGGTTGCGAAACGGATGGTTGGTTGGGAAGGAATGGAGGCAAACAATAGAGGAATCCCGGGGCATGACATGAGTCACATGACATGGTTGCGTCATGCGGGGAAGAGGTCGTAAGGGGGAAGGGCTCGGCGCGCCAGCATTGACAAGAGCGCTGCGTGTGTGGTGCCTGGTAACTCCGCGCCAGCATTGCAGGAGGAAATTCCGCGCGCTCGCTGACCCAGTTACACAAGCGAAAGGTGGTTGCGGCGGCACCCAGTTTGCGGGAGGGAAATCTGCGCGCCCGCCTTTTGGGAGTTACGCGCCAGCTCCCATTGCTTGTGGCGGAGATTACACCTCGAGCATCCCGCGTCAGCCAGGATGAATGGTTGGTTGCGCGGGGAGGCGCGTGGATGTGACCGACCCTGGCGCAGGGGCTCGACCATGATCGCTTGCACCCATGCTGAGATAAAGAACGATGTACATGATCATCATGCAAGATAACTCAGTACACGCCTCAAAATGATGCGTCAGTGTTTTACTTTGAAGTAATAATAAATGATAAATCACAACATTTATTACAAATAAATACGAGTCACTAACTACCTACCTACCTGGTGTGTCTTCTAGAGTGGGCTCTTCGAGCCCAAACACTAAACGCCCCAACCAGCCACAGGAATCCAGACACACACACCATCACCCAAAAAGCCGGGAGCTTGGAAGCAAGCGCAGTAGACAACAACGGACCAAACGCATACCCCAGCACACCCGCACCGTTGTACAACGCAACCAACACCGCCACATCGATATGCTTTTCTCCTCCACTCCGTTCCCCATATGAGCTGCTCCGCGCATACCCACTATCAAGCAGATTCACCTCCTCGTCTTCCTCACTCTCCGATGCAGACACCAACGAGGCAAAGCTCGGAAGCTCCGTAAGAGCGTACCCGACACCATTCGCCGCCATCAATAAATACAGTGGAATGCGGGCCGCGCTACACGATAACTCTTGAATCATAAGCAAAGGAAGTGTCCACGCGAGAATAGTCATCCCGACCGAATTCGTCGCTCCCGGGGACCAACTCCTCACATAGAGCAGCACGGACGAAGCCAGCGCGACGAGAAACGTGAAAAACGCGGAAAACGACGAGAGCGCCGCCCGGGCGTGGGCGTGCAAGCGGGCCTGCACGTGGAGATGCGCGGTGGCATGCGCGTGCGCGGACACATAAGCCACAAACGAGTACGCCAATCCGTTGAACGCAAACGCGAGCCCGACAGAAGCCGGTCCGGCGTCGCATGTGTCTGCGAGGAAGAACGGGAGCGTGGCCTCGAGGGCTCCGAAGGAGAGCGTTTGCACGGCCGTGGTGAGAAGCACGGCCGTGGCGAGGCGATTGCGGAGAGCAAAGAGAAGCCCTCGGATCGTCATGCTTCCCTGCCGCTGCCTCTGCTGCTGCTCCTGCTGCTGTTGCTGCTCTTGCTGCTGGTGCTCCAGCTCCTGCAGCTCCTGCTGCTGTTGCTGCTGGTATTCCTGCTGGTGCTGGCCGCTACTGTAGCTGCTGTAGCTGCTGCTGACGTCAGCAGCTGAGCTGGAGGCGCCAGCTGGGCCAGGTGGGTAGCTGGCGGCAACAGGTGCAGATGCTGCTGTGGCAGATGATGAGGCGGCGTCAAGAGGAGGGATGGTAGGGGCACTTCGAGGGAGATTGCTTGTTGCCGTGGCGGTGCTGGTGGTGGCGGTGGTGGCGGTGGTGGTGGTGGAAGAGGGAATGGAAGGAGCAGAAGCGGCGTTGGTGATTGAGTTACTGCTGCCTCTGCCGAGATTGAAGGCCTGGTCGATCATATCAGCAGGCTCTGCTGCTGCACAAGCTGCTGTGTCTCGCGCACCCATCCCCGCCCCTGCTGCTGCCGCTGGCGCTACCTCAGGTGCTGCCACTTGTGTTGCCTCTGTTGCTGCTGATGCTCCTGCCAGCCCCCTTTCAGCGTCTCTTTCAGCTGCTGTTGATGATTCATGGCTCATGGGGTGCTCATCATGTGAAAGCGACACATGGCTCATGGCTTGCAGGGCATGGGAATGTAGGCCATGGCTCATGGCGTGCTCGTGCTCATCATGTGAGAGTGGGACATGGCTCACGCGTGAAGCAGCAGCATGGGTGGAGTCGTTTGACAGAGGCACCTCGTGCCACTCCGCATCCGCTTCTGCTTCTGCGTCTGTGCTCACAGAACTCCCTTCAGCAGCAGCGCCTGCACCCATAACAGCAGCAGCTCCCAGGCCTCCAGCACCAGAGGCAGCGGCAGGTTCAGGTTCACATTCAGAGGTAACGGCAGGGGCAGATCCGCCAGAGGCAGTGGCAGGGGCAGAGGGAACAAGGGCTGGAGCAACAGGGGCAGAAGCAGTCACCGTCGCACTGTCAGGTGTGGGGCTGGGAGGGGGGATGAGGGGGACGGAACTAGTGGGCAGGGACGCCTGAGGGGCAGACATGCGGGGCTGAGGAGCAGGAGAGGAGTCAACGGTTTGTGGAGAAGGAGAGGAGTGGCGTGGCTGTGCAGAAGAAGAAGAGTTGAGGGGTTGTGGAGTGTGTTCGGGGCCGTCAGCAGGGGCAGAGGCAGCTGCAGGGTTGGATGCAGAGGTCATGGGTTCGAATCTCCGTGTCAGCACAAAATCTCCATCATTGTACTCTGCTGCCTGCCCTGAAGGGGCACCTGAAGGTTCATCCTGGCGAGACGCAAACGACGAAAAGAACGAGTCGGGCAGGTCGGAAGGTTCTGGAGGCGGCTCCACCCCTAGCGCCTCGAAATTTACCGTCACCTGCCCGCTGCCCGCCAGGAAGCCAGGACTGACGATGGAGTCAGGGCCTGGTTGTGCTGTGGAGCCAGAGGCGAGGCCTAATGACACAGGGCTGGGTGAAGACTGCAAGGTATCAACGCCACCAGGGGGGTTCGAGGAGGTATTTGTGAGAGCGTAGGACGATGGGTTACCCTGTTGCTGCAGCTGCGGTTCCTCCTGCTCTTCCATCTCTTCCTGCTCCTGCTGCTGCTGCTTCTGCTGCTTTTTCTTGCGCCAGCGGAACTGAAACTCGAGGCGGTCAAGAGAGTGCGCTTCAGGGGAGAGCAGGAAGGAGAGGAACGAGAGCACAGCCGCAGCCACAGCCGCAACGAGATACGCGATCCACGGGGAGAGGTACTGGTAAGCGAACGAGCCAAAGAGCGGCCCGATGAGCGTTCCCAGGGACGCCCACCCGAGCAACGAGCCAATCACGCCGATCAGCAGCGAGGATTCCGCAGAGGAAGCTGCGGAGGAAGCTGCAGAGGAGGATCCAGAGGGGGTGCCGTCCATGCCGTCTGCAAAGGTGGTGGGGAAGTGGGTGCCTGTGAGGGAGTAATCTGCTGCTGCCGATCGGAACACCTGGTCACCGCTCCGAACCACAAAGAGACCTTCGGTTGCCGAACCTCCTCCTGCTCCTGCTCCGGCCGAGCCTGGAGCACCAACACCCCCGACTCGTGCCCTTCGCTCCCCTCTCCCTCCTCTTCCTCCACGTCTCCCTCCTCCTCTACCTCTCCCTCTCCCTCTAACCTGTGTCTCTCTTCCGCTCAGTCCCGAAACGCTTCCTCCTGAAAACTCCCTCCAACCCTGCCCCTCTATTTCCTGCAGCTGCTCCTCCTCCTCCTCCTCCTGCTCCTGCTGCTGCTGCTGCTGGGAAGGGGTGAGACGCTCGTACGGAGTGTTGCTGATGCCGCTAAGGCTGCTCGTCCCTCTCCTCCCATCCCCCATCAAACCATAACTTAACGACGTCCTTCCCCGGGCAGTCCACAGCCTGCCCGAGCCCAAAAGTTTGTGCAGCCCCTCGCTGCCCTTCTGCGCCAGCTGGTCCACCACCTCGTCCAATGACGCGCCGGACCCGCAAACCCGGGCAGCAAAAAAAAGCCCGACGCTGCGCACGGATTGGGTGGCGACGCCCTGAAGCACCAGGGCAGCGGCGAGCGAACCCGCCCCGGCGATCGGAAACGCGAGGGAGAGAGAGGCGAGGGTGGAGAGAGAGAAGGTCGCGGCGAAGATGGTGGGGACGGAGATTAAGAGGAGGAGGACGCCTATGGGGAGCGACGCGAGCACGGACGTGACGTTGCGCGCCGCGAGGAGCAGCGTGACGGCGTGCTGCGTCAGGCCGAAGCGACGCGCGTAGCCCGGGAGGATCGGCGCGACGGAGCTTAAAGTGGCAGAATCCAGGAAGGTTCCGGCTGGCGTCCAAGGGGGGAGGGGAAGAGGGGGGGAGGGAGGATGTGGAGGGTGAGAGGGCAGAGTGGGGGGGGGGGGGGGAGAGAGGGGGGGGGGGAGGGGGAAGAAAGTTTCGGTGAGAATTCTGACAAGTGCTGTATAGTGGTTAGGTGAGTCGATGCGATTTAGCTAGACGCAGCAGAAGTAGCGCGCAGGAATGCCTGGTACCCGATATAGGAATGCCAAATGCAGGAATTTCGTGGATGTTTAGTACCCGATATAAAGCGCAGGAATCGCTTCTCCATAGAATTGGGCCCGCCGCGCGCTTGCAACAATGCGGCGCGTTGGAGCCGACGCGCCTCGGCGGCGTCTGCGTCGCTCGGCGACGTGAACCCCATCCCGGCGGCTCCCGCATTCGTGCGGCCCGACGACGACCTCATTGCGTGAATTGCGGGTGAGAGATTAATGAATGTGTGGTCGCGAATGATCCTGACGATGGTCCTGACGTCAGCCTAGTATATAGCGCGGTGGCTCACATATAGTGCTTGTTTTCATACCATGTCAATGTTTTGCCGTCCAAAGGAAGAAAATGTCGCAGATTTTACACTTTACTAGACAAATGCTGTGTCTCGAAGCACAGGGCACATGGCTGCCTCAGAACAAAATGCAGCAACCAGCCCGTAACACGCCCAGGTTCTAGTCTAGTCCATGACCTAGACCAATCGCGTGCAATGCGGCACTGCAAAAGCCGACTAGTTTTCCAAAGCTGGGCTTCGGTAGGTGATTTGTAAGGATTTACAAATCCTTACTGAGGCACTCGTTAGCGAGGCCATCCCGAGGGTCACGCGACGAACCTGTCTTGCCTATTTCGTCGCACCGAACCACCCCCGAGTCGCCTCCGCTCCAATCGCAACATCACCGAGCCATCCTTCGCCCGGCCTCTTCGCCTAGCTAGGATTCCCCTTATAAATTCCCGTCACTTTCCTTGTATCGTCATTCTGTAGTTCAACATTCTCGTTATTCGATATCTGCGCACTCTGACAAGTTCATTCATAACATGATTGGTGCCCAATGCCCATCACATCACAACACCAACCAACACACATATCCATCAATCCACCCGTAACTGAACTCGTTACGCGACTTAGCCAACCGCGTTACCAGATACACGTTCGCGCGGTGACAACTTTCGTGCAATATAGGTTCATGAATTTATCGTAATTCAAGATTTCCATCCCTCCCACACAGAATTGTACTTTGAATATTCAAAATCCAAGACGCCCGACATTCTTCAGCATCATCATCAAGCTGCCTGGCGGGCTGCCCGAGCCTCAAACGGACCAGTCAGTGCCAGAATATTTTGTTTGTTCGAAATCTTCCATCTGCCCGACACATCAGTTCAACCAATCAGCCACTCGCTTCGCTTGAACCAGCCTTGAGAGTTCCGCACAATTCTTCTCCCAGCTGAAACTTTCGACAATCATTTGCCTTTCTAGCCGTTTGTGCGCACAGCCCAAGCCAGTTCATTCACTGACTTGATTCAAGCGGAAGCGTAGTTCTCCTTTTTGTCCCAACTCTCAATTCCAGGCTTTCTAGTGTCGTCCTCATGACGCCTCGCTCTGGACTTCAGCCTCCCCTTCGCCTGCTCAACTGAGCGGGTTCAGCAGCGTCTTGCTACTTGGGAGCTTACGAGTGCCTCAACTCTGACTGGTATTCGTACGTTTCGCGGGAAATAAAGGGTACTGTGAGCTGGTAGTCTGGCTTGCTTCGTAGTACGAAGTTCAAGATTGCCGCATACTCGCCGGTATCATGGCTCAGCGCTCCCTGTGGAGATTCTACTCCAAGAAAGATAACGCTTCTAACACTCTGTCATCACAGCCGCTCGTTTCAACTCAAAACTCTCCAGCAAGCAGCCAAGGTCATTGGGGGTCGACTAATGTTCCCGCTAAAGCAGTCTCCGATAACAGTCCGTTCAAGACCCCACGCAACCCGTACGCGTTCAGCGGCACAACCGAAGGGACGGAGCCGAAATGGCGAGTGACGGCCGATCAACCGTCCCTGAATAAGCCTCCCCCGAGTCAGCGCGTAACGGGGTATCATCCTTCTGATCCGAGCGGCAAGGAGCTCGGCATACCTGGTACCGCGAATGGGCCACCCGCTGCGCTCCGTCCGCGGGATCGAGCGCCGGCTGGACGCCGTCGATGAGCTGGCGGGCTCGTCGCTCGCCACGTCAGCGCTGTCATCCGCCACATCAGCAGCACACGCACGGGGAGAAATCCGGGTGGCGATGAGGCGGCTGCCGGATCTGGAGCGCCTGATTGGTCGAATGAGAGCAATGGGCGCCCATGCTAAGGGTGGGGGAGGAGGAGAGGGAGAGGAAAAGGATTGGGGCAGGGCCAGAAGAGGGGAGGATGGGAGAGGAGGGGTGGGAGGAGGGGAGGTGGAGTGGGGGGGGTTAAGAGCTTCTCTAGAGGCGCTACCTGGACCAATGGCGGAGCAGCTGCTGAGGAAGCAGGTGAGGAAGCAAAGCACACTCATGCAGAAGCTGGTTTGTTGAGAATGTCCAGGGTGCGAGGGAGGAAGGGTTTATTTCAGCGAGAATTTGCTAAGAGGAAGGGAGAGACAGAGGCGCATGTAGACTCGGTTTCAGGCCGTGGCTACGTGGAAAATGCGATTCTCTTGTAGATGCGGATACACACCACATGCGCCTCAAAATGTCCCCTCTCCTCTCCCCACCTTCGCTCCTCTCCGTCTTGCAGGTCACCCACTTGTGCTCTGCAGTGCGAGGGGTGCGCGCAGCCCTGCTCTTCCTTGATTCCCTTCTCAACGGATCGCTCACGGGAGAGCCTGTTGCCTTTCGCTCCGCCATCCTACGTGGCATCATGCGATTGGCTCCTGCTGCCGCCTCTGCTGACAGCAGAGAGACTGACCCGGAAGAGGAGGAGGAGGATGAGGGAGGAGGTGGAGGAGAAGGGGCAAGGGTGAGGAACAGCCACGTGAGTAATGGTTACAGCAAACATGGTTGGAGAGATGAGAGGGGTCGTTCAAACACGATTCATAAATCTCATTCGAGGGCAAGGACGAACGGCAAGGAGGAGATGAGCGGCCGGCGTGCGTTGACAGTTCTGGATGAGATAGAGCAGTTCATTCTGTGGCCGACTGTTTCCCAGGGGAAGGTCGGTGCCGCTGGGAAGGGCAGAGGCAGCGGCGGGGCGAGAGGCGCTGGTGGTGGCAGCAGCAACAACAGCAACAGCAGCAGCAGCAGCAGCTGTCCTCGTCTGGTTGACCCTGATGACAGTGTGATGAACCTGGTGGCCAATGTAAAGAGGTCTGGGACTGGGAACAGCAGGAACCAGAACAAAAACAGCAGCAGCAGCACCAGTAGCAGTCATTTGAGTGAGGCAGTGGCAGCAGAGGCGCGTCTGCTTTCTGCTCTGCTAGCGCGGTTCTCCTCGCTCCTCCCCTTCTGCTCGCTCCTCTCCGACTCCCTCGCCCGCTTTGACGTCCTCCTCGCCTTTGCTGATGCCGCACACACCGCTGCTGGTGGCAATGGGGGTGCTGGTGGTGGTAGTGCAGGGCCCATGTGCCGCCCCACGTTTGTGGCAGCAGGGGGAGGGGGAGGAGGAGGAGGAGGAGGAGGAGGAGGAGGAGGAGGAGGAGGAGGAGGAGGAGGAGGAGGAGGAGGAGTAGGAGGAGGAGAAGGAGGAGGAAGAGGGGGAGGGAAGGGAGGTGGGTCAGGGGGAGGGAGCACGTTCCATGCTCGGGGTCTGTGGCACCCGTTTGCTGTGGGAGCCAGTGGTGGTGGTGGTGTGGTGGTTCCCAATGACGTGCTCCTGGGGGGCGTGCCTGGCAGCTCCGTATCAGGATTAACAGCACCTGCAGAAGCAGGAGTGCATGCGCGTACAATGCTGCTGACAGGGCCCAACATGGGGGGCAAGTCCACTCTGCTACGCGCTACCTGTGTCGCTGTCATCATGGCTCAGGTGCTCGCAACTCTTACCCTCGACTCGTGCCTTATCGGTCCATTGCTGCATTAGCTCACGCTGCACGCTCCAGTCCCAGTTCCACCTTCCTTCTACCAGTTGTAGAAAATGATTTGAAAATGCAGCGTGAGCAAGGTGGGTGCAAGGATTGTTCTTCAGAAGGATCCTTCTCAAAGTAAGTCGAAGGATCCTTCAGAAGGATCCTTCTCATGTGGTAATCATGGAAGAGTTCAGAAGAGTCCGGCTCATCAGATTTGACTGTCGAGTCGAGTCGAGCCGGCTCAAATACCACCTTCCCCCAGTTTTATCTAATCTCAATCCCAACCGCGATTCCCTCCTCCCTCCTTTCACCAGATGGGATGCTATGCGCCCTGCTCCTCCCTCGTTCTCTCCCCTGCTGACGTCATCTTCACAAGACTCGGGGCATCTGATCGAATCATCTCTGGGGAGAGTGAGTGCTGTTCTTTTTTGGGAGGGGGAGGGGGGTGTGGGGGGTTGAAGAGGAGAGGGGGCAAGCGAAAGAAAGTCCAGACATTCAACTGAATTATCTGAGGCAGGAGCAAATCTGCTGTTTCTTTGGGGAATGGGGGCCGGGTTTGAAAGTGGAGAAGGGGGAGGTAGAAGTGTCTTTCTGTAATCTCTAAGCAATGGAAATCTGTACCATCCCGCTCATGGTGGAGTGCAGGGAGGCAGCAGCAGTGCTGCCTTATTAAAATGACTCACTCACCCACCATTCCCCCTTCCTTTGCCCCTTCATCTCCTGCTACTTTGCCCCATCAGGCACGTTCATGGTCGAGTGCAAAGAGGCAGCGGCAGAGCTGCCCTTAAGAATCAGCTCACGCAACCACCATTTTCCCTTCTTTTGCCCCCATCTCCCGCTACTTCCTTTTGCTTTCCTTCCCCACCAGGCACGTTCATGGTGGAGTGCAGGGGGCAGCAGCAGTGCTGCGTCAGAAAATCAACCCACATAACCACCGTTTCCCCTTCCCTATTCCCCATCTCTTGCTGCTTCCCCCGTGCCCCTTCCCCCACCAGGCACGTTCATGGTGGAGTGCAGGGGGCAGCAGCAGTGCTGCGTCAGAAAATCAACCCACATAACCACCGTTTCCCCTTCCCTATTCCCCATCTCTTGCTGCTTCCCCCGTGCCCCTTCCCCCACCAGGCACGTTCATGGTGGAGTGCAGGGAGGCAGCAGCAGTGCTGCGCTGCGCCACAAGGGACTCCCTGGTCATTCTGGACGAGCTGGGCAGGGGCACGTCCACATTCGATGGATACGCCATCGCGAACGCGGTACGTGCTGTGGTCGTTTGAAACTCGGCTGGCTCTGTGGGACTAAAGTGTACCGGCTGAGATCATCGGCCCAAGACTTGTTCTGCGGACCGGTAGTTCCATGACAACAGCAGTGATTGATATTGAACCCAGGCAAAGGCTAGCACTGCTGTTATCTGCTGTGATCGGCTCAACCCTCTTTCTGCTGTTTTCTCTTATTTTCCAGCAAGGACCGAAATATCTAACCTGGCGCCTTTGTTGCCTTTCGAGACATCTGGAGCATATCACCAATAGCCCTGCTTTCCCACCTTTTATTGTTTCTACCGCTGTTCCCCCACCAGGTATTGAACTACCTTACCTCGCGCCTTGACTGCCGGCTCCTATTCGCCACGCACTACCATCCCCTCACCTCCGAGTTTGCGGGCCATCCGCAAATCGCGCTGCGACACATGGCATGCCAAGTGCAGGCTCGCAAGGGCGGCGACGGAGAAGAGGACGAGGAGCTTGTCTTTTTGTACAAGTTGCAATCCGGTGCCTGTCCGAAGAGCTATGGATTGAAAGTGGCGTCTATGGCTGGAATTCCGTCTCGTGTGGTGGCGAATGCGGCTCGAGCAGCTTCGGCCCTTGAGCATGAGCTGAGCGATAAGTTTGACAATCCTGAGCCGCTTGCAGCAAGCACATTGCTTGATCTGGAGCGGTCATGGGTGCAAACGTTGCAAGGGGTTGCGCCATTTGGTGCTTCTGGTGGCAAAGTGCCTGATGAGGATGTAGAGGATATGTTTGAGACCCTGTATTGTATCTGGCACGAGGTTCGCCGTTGTCACAATTCATGAAGTCGTCATTATAGTCATTAAGCATTATATTATGCTGTTTACGGAAGAGTGCGCTAGTGTAACAGGGGAGGCACACATAGTGCGTACTACATTGCAATTCTTCTGTCCCTGCTACTTCTGCTTGTCGAGAAACTAGCAAGCAGAAAACATGTCGAAATTAGCACAAGGTCACAGCAAATTAGCTGATCTCTCTTACGTGTCGGTTTGCATGACATGACACCTAGGTATGCTACGGGCGCGAGGGTGGGTGACCAGTGCGCTCTCCTTTTCCTGGCTGCAAGTTCATGCCACTGCTAGTTCCGTCTGGCAACTGCTCGAACATGGAGCGGAATCGTCACGCTAAGAGCATGATGGTAGTGACTTCAGCAGGATCAGCGGCGGGTGTAGAAAGGAATGCTGGGTGCTTATCAGGGCCCATATGCTTGAGCGTTTGTGAAGCATCTTATTTTCCAGGAGATTTCAAAACCCCCGCGTTATTTCCCAAGGACATGGATTTATTAGGGATCCTCCACTACAACTACCGACTTCTCGTCGGTTATGCCGAACCTGAGTCGTTCGAGTGGAATTTCCGGACCTACGCGTCCGTAATCCTGGTAGCTTTGGTGAGTAAGCAACGTCCTGTCACGGCAGAAGGCTAGATTGTTCTGTCATGGTTCAATTCAGATCATAATTTCTCGCCATCTCCGACATTCCGATGATCACCTGCCTCATGGGATCGCACAGTGCGCATCGCTTGCTAATTCAGCTGGCGTGGGTGGAGGACCTTTCTACATGCCGCTGTTTCACTCGGTTCTCAAATTCAATCTTGTCAAGTCCACTGCTCTTTCGCATACCGTCGTGACATCGAGGTCAGAATTCATCACCTCTTTTTGTTTTTGTTTCTGTGTTTGTTTTCATTGATTGACGTTACTCTTAACCTTTTTTAAATTTGCGTTCAGTGCAATTGCTAGTACTCTCTATGGACTATGGGAGTCAAGTCCTGAAGTTCCGTCCATGCCACTGGTTGACTTGAGACTTGCACTGGCATTGCTCCCGTCTCTCCTTTTTGGAGTTGGGATTGGAGTTCTAATCAGCCCAACTCTTCCTCACTGGATTCAGCTACTCGGGTTACTGATTTTGCTTATTTTCGTTGTACATAAGACGTATGAACGCGCACGAAGGTCATGGAAGAAAGAGTCAGAAAGAAGGGTGAGTATCTGTAGTACGTTGAGCTATCATGCTTGGCCTGATAGAAGTGTTCGTGCGTTGAAGAGCATCTGATCATTGCACTTGCAGAGGGTTGCTTATACTGCTGCTGCCGAGGGACTCCTGCCTGTCTCATTCGTCAACCCAGACGAATCGGGCCAGCAGCAAGTTACGTTTGACGTTCCCGAAACATGTGAGGGAGCGGATTTCCTGTCAGTGGCTGAATGTGAGATTTCGCGTTTCTTCAACCGCCACTGGAAGTGGATGCAGCATTATTTGAATGATTCAGGAAATCAGCTTCTCTCGCACATCCACCAGGTGGCAATGCCATTTCTTTACACCCTCGGTATGTTCCACCCATTTCCTGAGTTCTTTTGAGATTTGTGAGAACCTCCATATCAGATCTATTTCCTGTTCTTTTCCCGCAGTTCTTTGGACTCTTTTCATGGCTCTTCAGTGGGGTCTTAGTCAAGCTAGCCGCTGTTCCTCGTCCTTCTTCCAGCTGTGGGGGTTGCAGCTGTTTGTCTGCATTGCTGCTGCAGTTAGCACCGTTCAAGGACAGGTAGATCAATGCAGGACCTTTTGGCACAGAGTGTTGTGATTTTCTTCACATCTCCACTTTGTGACTTCTGGCCATTGCCTTGTGTTATGGCTGCTTTCTTTCTTGCAGCTGCTCATGTATCCTACCACCTGCAGGTCTACATCTCTGAGCCCGAATCTTGTTCGGCTTTTCTCATCGAACTCCCGGATTTCCCGCTTTTTGAAGGTATGTAAACTTCTTGCTCATGTGTGCTTCCGTTTCCAGGTTGTGCGTCTTTGACTGACCCTGAAACTATCGTTTCAGATTTCAGTGATCATGGCATGTGCTGGAGCTATGGCTGGGATGGTGGGCATTGGAGGAGCACTTATCTTTAACCCATATCTCCTTAGTCTCGGCCTTCACCCGCAGGTGTTGACAATGTTAGGCATTATTTCATTGATTAACATGGGTCTGACAGTGGGTAAGTAAGAAGCTGAATGATTTTTCCTTTGTTGGCATTGCAGATCTTGGCCTCGACAAGTGTTTTCATGATCCTTTTCAGCAGCAGTGCTATCAGCATCTCGCTTTTCTTCCATGGTTTTCTGGACACTAGTTATGCAGCTGTGTTTGCTCCAGTGGCATTCCTTGCATCTCTGGTTGGAGTCTTCATTGTCGGGAAAATTGTGAGAAACACAGGTATGTGTTTTTGGTTGAAAACATAGCTTCAGAAATTGAATCAAGTGATGCAGCATATCATAATCACGGCCACTTATTACCCGTATGTGCAGGTCGTTCATCGATCATCATCTTCATTTTGGCCGTCTTGATTGCACTGGGGGGGGTTTTGGTAACCATTACCGAAGGTCCAACAGCATTTGACAAGTTAATTCATGGTCAAGACATGCAAATACGTCCTTTTTGCCCTGTTTGATGCTGAGGATATATACCATAGCCTAACTCAGGTTATGAGTCTTGGTGTGTTGTGCATCCGATTGCTGGTTTGGTTGTGGTAGCAATGGAATGCAGCTGAGTTCAATGAGAGCCTATTTCCTGAAATCAACCCAACCCAGGTACAGCTCAATCCAGTCTGATCGGGTTGGACCTTGGCTGTGCTCCGAGGCAACTTCCGCCTGGCCCACCACCAGTCATCTGGTTCGTACTACTACCTTCCGTCGCAAAAAGGGGCTTCCTTCTTTAGGTTGGGGCAACGCGAGGTTGGGCAACGCGAGGTTGGGCCACGCGAGGAAGGGCAAGCGAGGGCAAGGCCAGTTTGGGCCACGCGAGGTTGGGGCAACGCGAGGTTCGGCAACGTGCGCCCAGACCGCATACAATACCCGTCTCTATCAGGCACCGCGCCAGCCACTCTCCAGTCCACCTGTCTCTTACCGTTCGCATTGCTTGCGTGCGTACCTCCAGTTGATCATGACTGTATCCAGTCGAGAAAATTTGTCGACAGATGATTCGTGGACGGGGAAGAAGATAGTGGTTTGGGAAGGACAACCTCCCAAGAACGGCTCTCTCTGCTGCTACACAACGCTACACAACCTGATCAATCACTAGCAGAAAGCAGCACGAGTCGCTCTAGCGAAATAGCTATTTCGTGGCCCCAGACCAGTGCGTTACGATGTCTGTCGATTCACCTACTGCTCACGAGCTTGACCTAAAACGCAAATTCGCGGAAATGCCGAACCGCTATGACTTGGACTCTCCAACCAAGCGCCTTCGCGGCGTGCGGCAGCGCTCCTGGGGCAAGTGGGTCTGCGAGATCCGCGAGCCGCGCACGCGCGCGCGCGTGTGGCTGGGATCGTACAGCACCGCGGAGGAGGCCGCGCGCGTCTACGACACCGCCGCGCTCATGCTGCACGGCGCGCGCGGCGCGGAGCGCCGGCTGAACTTTCCCGAGGCTCTTCAAGCGGACGGGGGAATCCGCCCCGTTATAGTGTCGCGCACTATAGCGGAAGGCCTGCTCCGCGTCGTCAATGCTCTGACTCTTTCGCAGCAGTCACCACAGTCGGCATCTAAACAAGAAGATTCGACCAATCCATCTTGTACTAGTGATATGATGGTCGATGCCTCTACCGCTGCTGGGGGGACCAGTGCCAGCCGCTCTACCGGTGCTACCGCATCTGTCCCCGCGGTTCACGCTAGCCCCACATTTACCGGCGAGTGGGTGCGGCTCGAGGTTACCGGCTCCAACGTCGTCTTCTCCGATTGCGCGCACCCCGAGATCACCACCGCCGCGATTCCCGCCGCCAGTCGCGGCGGCGTCTTTCCAGACGCGTCGTCTGTCAAATCCCCGACGGCGAACGGCCAGATTTCGCCGAAACGCGTTTTCGCGGCTCCGAATGCCACCGCCGCCGTCGATCCAAGCGCCGCTGCTGGCGCGCCCGGCGTTGGGTCAGCAGCCGCGTCGCGAGTTGCCTCCGAGATGGATTTCGTCAGCAGCCGCGTCGCCGCGCCTGCAGGTTCCTTCTCCGCCGCCCTCTCGCTCTTCTCCGACGCGCCTTCCACCTTTTCCGCCGGTCCTCCCATTATCGTGCCCTCCCGCCGTTCCTCCGCCTTATCTCTCCCCGGAAGCCCTATGAGCGGAATGGGGTACAGCCCCGCGCGCGTCCGCTCCCCCGCCCGCTCGCCGCTGCACTCCCCGCAGTTCCCCGGCCCGTCGTTTGGCGGCTCCCGCGCCTTCCCCGCAACCACCGCCCCTTCCTCCCCGCGTGCGATTAGCGCCTCAGCTTTTTCCGTCATGTCCGCGTTCGCGGCTTCTGCCGCTCCCGCCGCTTACGGCGGCGGGGCGGATCTCTCGCGCGCGCTGCTCGCGCACCCCACCTTCGCGCACCTCTGCGCGCCTTCCGCACAGCCCACTGAGACCCTCGCTGGTGATCATATCCCAGTTTCCACTGCAGATCAGATGGCCACTGCTAATCCCGCCATAGACTTTCCTCCCCTTACTACCGCAGCTGCTCCCAACTCTGCTCCACCCGCTGCTACTCTTGCTGCTCCCCCCAGTGCTCCCAGCAGCAGTTGTGCAGTTCAAAATCCAGACAGCAATTTCACAAGCTACACCTCTTTCGCTCCGTTTCTCACTGATCTGGGACAGGAGGACAACGATATTGTTAACAGCAGATCTAGTAACGCGGATAGCAGCAGCATGGACACGTCATCCCCTACTGCTAAAGCGGGGCCCTTACCCTTACAGCAGCCCCCAAGCGTCTCCCCCCAGGCTCCCCTAAACCTGCCCAGTTTCTCCTCTCAGCCGCTCCTGAACCTGCCCAGCTTTTCCAAGACGGCACCGGACCAAACGGGTTCCTTGCCTCGACTGCCGAGCCTGCCGGGGGAGTTCCCGTCGCTGCCGAGCCTACCGGCAGAGTTCCCAACGATGCCGAGTTTAGACTGGAACGAGATTGAAGAGTGCTTGGGAAATTCAGAAGGATCAGAGCTCACTACCTGACTATCCGCTCCTGGCTGCCCCTGCCTGACAGCCTGTGCCTGAATGCCCGTGCCTGACGGCCCGTGCTTATCAGCCCGTGCCTGACAGCCCATGCCTGACAGCCCGTGCCTGGCAGCCAATGACTGACAGCCCGTGCCTGACAGCCCGTGCCTGACAGCCCGTGCCTGGCAGCCCGTGCCTGGCAGCCCATGCCTGGCAGCCCATGCCTGACAGCCCGTGCCTGACAGCCCGTGCCTGACAGCCCGTGCCTGACAGGCAGCCCATGCCTGGGGGTCATGCAGAGGATCAGGTCCTGAGAAACTTTGTCAGGAGGATTAAAAACATTTGTCAATATTTATGGTTGGATGCACAATTTGTACAACAGAGGCTTCCACGCAAGATTACATCTGTACTTTGCCCGTATGATTTGATTAATACATGATCGGCTGTGCATGCTTTTTAGGTTTGTATAATGCCATCTTGCCACTTATCTTAATTCCGAGAACGTTGTCAGACTAGTCGGAAAGTGAAGGATTTTGTCACGGGTGTAGCTTGTTATGCTGGAACTTGACCAGGAACCTTTATCCCCCTTTAGGAAATTCATTAATCATTATTACGATGAAGAATCGATTATCACAAGCCGATATACTAAGTACTGGTATACATGCACGAATATATATAGCAAAGCACAGCAGAGGCATTTAGGAACGCACAGGAAGTGGCACACCCACCCAGGGTATGAGGCAGTGCGCATTGAAAGAATACGAGAGGAGCAGTGTCAGGTTCAGGCAGGTGACCTTTACATCTTCAGGAGAGAGATGGGTTGAAACAAGAGAACTCGAGCACATCTTCAGGAGAAACTTCAGGAGAAGGTTGACACACGAGAATTCGTCTCGAGCTCGTCAGGAGGTTGGCTTTCGGGAAGAAAGACAATCATCATGAGGACCTGTGGGGCACACTTAATAAAAAACGGTGCTTAGGGCCTTCATGATGGCTGGCTTCCCCGAGTGTAGCCGATTGCAGGGTAGAGGAGGATGAGGGCAGGACCAAGAAGTTTCAAGAGAGGGTGAGATCGCACCGGAAAGGGAGTGAGAAATTCCAGGGAGGAGGGTAGGAGGGTGGGACGGTATCGAGGATACTGAGAGGACAGAGGGCATTCAGGGTGTAGATAAGGTGGGGGGTCTTGAAAGAGTTGGAGACGAAGATTGAGAACGGGACGAGAGCACGCGAAACTGGTGACCGAGTTTCGCCAGCTCTCGCCGATCTCAGCTGCTGCTTCTACTGCTGCATCTGCGCCTGCTGCTGTTGCTGCATCAGCCGCAGCTGGTGCTCCTTCTGCAGATGCTGCAGCACCGCCGTGATGCTCGTCAGCTCGCGCACCAGCGACACCAGCACGTCCGCGCGCTGGTGCGCGTTCCCCGCGGAACCCGCGGAGGCGGCTGAGGCCGAGACGACGGCACCGTCGTTAGAGGCGGAAGCGGAGCGCGACACACTGCCGTAGGAAGAAGAGGGCGACGAGGGCGCATCGACAGGTGCGGGGAACACTGGCGGAAACGTCGGCGGAGACGGCTCGAACTGAATCCCCTCGTCCTCGATCGGGAAAAACGGGACGGGGCTGTCGAGAGCGGCGGCCGACTCCGACTCCCAGGCGAAGACGGAGTCGCGGGAGGGGGAAGCGGAAACCGAAGCGGAGGGGGAAGCGGAAGCGGAGGCGGAAGCGGAGCCGAAGAGCTCTTCGTCGGACAGATTCCAAGCGTCCTCGAATAGTGTGGTCTCCGACTTCTCGATTTCCGGCCAGTCGAGCTCTGGGAGCTCCAGAATAGAGCTGCTGTCGTTGTCGCTGCTGAAGCATGGGACGCCTGCGACGTCTGCGACGTCGGCGGCACTGGTGAACGATGCGACGGGCAGGTTGTCGCAAGAAGAGAGAGTGGGGAAGGTGGGGACAGGAGAAGGTAAGGGATTCGAAGCGGGCGCGGGGGCGGCAGCGGGGACCGACGGCGCAACGGCGGGAGCTGGAGCGATGGGGGTGAAGGGGAGGAGCCCGGGCGCGGGGCACTCCGCAAAGAGGACGTTACCGCCCGCGATTTCCAGCTGCACCCATTCGCTGTTGAACGTCTTCGTGTCCGCTTCCGCTGACGCTGACTCCGCGCCGTTCGCGGAAGCAGCGAGATTGCGCGCCGCGCGGAGGAGAGACTCTGCCGTTGCGCGGGAGACCACGACGGGGCGCATGCGGATTCCGCCCTCGATGGAGGTCGTCGCGGCGTGGGGGAAGTTCAGCCGGCGCTCCGCGCCGTGCGCACCGTGCAGCATGAGCGCAGCGGTGTCGTAGACGCGCGCGGCCTCCTCCGCAGAGCTGTACGATCCCAGCCACACGCGCGCGCGCGTGCGCGGCTCGCGGATCTCGCAGACCCACTTGCCCCAGGAGCGCTGTCGCACGCCGCGGTAGCGCTTGGCGGAGGGCTGGTTCGGGTGCTCGTTCTGAGACGAAGCGCCAGCGTCGGCGGCCACGGCGGCGGAGGAGGAAGAGAAGAAGCCGGTGAAGGAGGTCGAGTCGGAGGATAGGCAGGGAGGGAGAGCAGCAGCATTTGAGGGGGAGAGGCAAGACGTGTGTGACGTCTTGCGCTTGAGAGGGTTTGAAGAAAGAAGACCAGAAATGGTGTTGGGCATTTTTAGAGTGAGACGCCTGTGTTTGGTTAGACGTGTTCCGTGCTCTCGATTTGCGAATTCTTGTGTTCGCTGCTGCTTGCTGCTCTCGATCCCTGCCGATCCTTGCTCGAAGAAACGAGACTGGTCAAGTGATGACGAGATTACTCTGATTGCTAACTCAGATGATTGAATGAGGAAAGAGGGACGAAGATAAATGGGGCGGTGGAAGTTCGGTGGGGCGTGGGTTTCGATTCGGTTGAAGGCGGAGGAAGTAGAGTGGAGCGGAAGGAAGTCCTGGGGGGGAAGCGGAGTGTCGGGGAGGGGGAAGACAATTGAGTTGAGGGAGGAACGGACACGCGGAAAAGGATCTCTTTCCCCTCAACTTCGGATACGCGGTAACGCGGAGAGGGGAAATTGCCCGAACAGAAAGAGTGACAGGGAGGGAGTGAACGAACCACGTCCACACCACATCAAGGGCAAACGCGGTTGTTCGAATCGAAACGAAAATCGTGCTGCCCAGGGCTGGCCTTGCTCCTGCCCTTGCTGCTGCCTCTTGCTTGCTGCTCAGGAAAAGCTTGGCTTGATTTTGCTGCGCAGGTCTGGGCCTGGCCGGTTGGACTTGGGTTTGGTTTGGAGCGGGGCGCCGCGGGTGCGAGGAAGGAGTGACCGGGCCGGGTGGTCAGGCACCGACCACGCGGATGGAGCAGTGCACAGTACCGCGTGCACTGTTCATGCCGCGGTCTTTGCCTCTGTCAAGTCGACGTGAAGAACGCAAAACGCCAAATAAGCACAGTGACGTATCTAGCAACCTGTGTGGAGATCCTTTAGCAGCCGTCAGAAATGCCTGTTGCGAACGTCAAGTTTGACGCCAGATGGCTGATTTTGAGCTGCGAAGTGGTTACCTTAGGTGCGCGAGAGATTGTTCAGCAAGTTGCGACCTGAAACGTCCTTCCAGGCACAGCAAGTGCAGCGCCGACAGCCGGACAGCGACGGAACAGTTCCACCGACATTACGTGTCAACTGGCACTGTGGGAAGAAGATGACCTGTCGGGCCTGCTGCCATTTGATCAACTGCCTTGCTTGCCAGCAAGGCCTGAGCAGCCAACCGCGTGACCGGACAGTCCCGCAGGCCGGGTGACTGTGCCTCCCAAACTGGAGGAAGGCATGCGGGCAGGGGAGTGCACCTAAAAAAAACCCGAAACTGTACCGTAACGGCATTCCAGCAGGACAATGAGGCTTGAGATACAAACTCGTTTGTGGGCCTCTGCTAGTAGAGCAATTACATAAAATCAATACGTTCTTGAAACTAAGCTTTGGCTTCAACCACCACCCAAACTGGCTATCATAACAAGGATCCTACAGAAGAGGTAACCGTAGCCTATATGCTATTATAAGCGGCTTTATGTAACTCTACTATTTATGTGCGGCCATTACGATACCACCGCCACGACTGCAACCGAAGCTTCACTATAAGCAAAGCAAGCAGGCGGAAGAAGATTAGCATAGCAACGAGAATGCTCGCTTCCAACCACCCATTACCGGGTAACGGGTTCCTTATACCCGATAGCTCCAGAGTAGCCGCACACGAGCATGTGTTGGCAGTGGCAGTAGAGCTGTTAGAAGGCGATATGCCACAGTTACCAGTGTAGTATTCAGCAGAATCGAAGTTGATTCGCATTAGCAACTGGCGAGTGGGTGGGAAGATGTGGCATGAATGGGGCAGGCAGGGGAGAGGGGTTGAGGGGGGGACGATTGAGGGGAAATGAGTGGGCGTGCACGAGGAAAGATGAAGCAAAGAATGCAGCCAATGATGAAGTCGAGAGTGCAGCACAAACTGTAGCAAAGGATGTAGCCCAGGCACAGAAGTGGAAGTATGGAAGGGGTGCAAAAGTACATCATACGGCTGAGGGCAATTAAATAGCGAACTAACTTGGTTGTTGTTGTTGTTTGTTTTTTTTTTTTTTTTTTTTTTTTTTTGGAGTACTCCTGATATAGATGTGGGATTTTTCAACGCTACAAGAAATGTCTCACCTTATTGACGTAGGTCGAGAAGGAGAGGTACTGCGTCCACCCCACCCAGTCGGGGGGACTAAGAGACAAGAAATGCACGACCATCACCGACAGCAGCTGCAGGATCGCCGCTATCGAGATCCCCTGTTTCACTGTAGACGATGCTGTGCCGACCGCCATCCCTATGGACGAAGCCACCATCGTATCTAGCACCAGCACGAGCGTGAATAAGACGAACCGGCCGCCCGACGGGTTCAGACCGGTCATCCAGTACATGATGCAGCTGTAGAAGACGGGCGGCAGGATCTCGTACGGCAGGCTGAGGAGCGTCCGGGCGGCGTAGTACGCGGAGATATGATACACGCCGTCCTCTTGCTCTTTTTGGACTGACTTGCGGTCTTCTAGAAAGGTGATGACAGAGGTGAGCATGGGCACGAGGCCCCAGAAGAACTGCGAGAAGAAAATCAGCCCTGCCAGATCGCGCACGCCCTGCGCTGTTGTGGGGTCACGCTTGTACCAGAGACAGCCTGGTGTGGGTGGGGTGGATGGGAGGATGGATGGGATCATTGGCATGAATGTGATTGGATAGGTGGCGTGGCTGAGGTGAGGGGGATGGGTGGGATGAGTGGGATGGGTGCGATGGAAGGTTGTGAGGAGAAAGGTGATGAGGGAGGAGAGCATGGGCACGAGTCCCCAGAAGAACTGCGAGAAGAAGATGAGGGAGGAGAGCCCTGCCAGGTCGCGCACGCCTTGGGCTGTGGTGGAGTCACGCTTGTACCACAGACAGCCTGGTGTGGGTGGGACGGGAAGGTTGGAGGGAGGAAGGAAGGTGCTGAGGGAGGAGAGCATGGGCACGAGTCCCCAGAAGAACTTCCTCTTATACACTCACCTGGCATGAGAAGAAGATGGAGCAGACAAAGAGACTGATAGCCAGTCTTAATTGAGCCGATTCGACCTTAAACTTATACACGCACCTGGCAGTAGGGAGCAGACAACGAGGCTGGCAGCCACCACCCCCACGAAGATCCAGTCCTGATTCACCACGCGGTACGACAGCACATGCCAACCAAGGACGACTGGAAACTGCAACACGCACCTGGCAGTACGGAGCAGACAACAAGGCTGGCAGCGACGACACCCACGAAGATCCAGTCCTGATTCACCACGCGGTATGACAGCACATGCCGCCGCGCCAGCACCTGGAACTGGTACCCCCATGACGTCACCCACCTCTTCCCACTCCCCACTCCGCCTCCTCCCCCTCCTCCCCCACCCGCTCCTCCTCCTCCTCCTCCCCCCTCACTCATCACCCGCCAGTCTGTTGTCGCGTCTACATCCCTCACTCGAGTTCCCACTCCCCCTTCCACTCCCCCTTCCACTCCCCCTTCCACTCCCCCTTCCACTCCCCCTTCCACTCCCCCTTCCACTCCCCCTTCCTCTCCCCCTCCCGTCCCCACTCCCGCTGCCTCCCCTTCCTCAACATCCCCATTCCCAGCGTCTTTCCCATTGCGTCGTTTAGCAGAGGCAGCAGCAGCAGAGGGCATGGCGGCTCGCTCTATCTCCCGGGCGGCGTCTCCAGTGGCCCACAGGCGGATGAGGTTGGAGGACGTGCCGAAATGGATCGACGCGTCTGCTGCTTCAGGTGCTGTCAGGTCCTGAAAAGTTGGAAAGGAAAAAGAGTAAGCGGAATGGTACAGGGGGTTCAAATGATAAGGGGGGGTAAAAGAATAGCAGGGAGGGCAGCAGGGAGAGCAGCAGGGAGGGCAGCAGGGAGGGCAGCAGGGAGGGCAGCAGGGAGAGCAGCAGGGAGGGCAGCAGGGAGAGCAGCAGGGAGGGCAGCAGGGAGAGCAGCAGGGAGAGCAGCAGGGAGAGCAGCAGGGAGAGCAGCAGGGAGAGCAGCAGGGAGAGCAGCAGGGAGAGCAGCAGGAGATGAGGGCAGGGAACAACCAGGCAGTGAACAGAGCAGTGTGGGCAGCAGGACTGACCAGGAAGAAATCTGCAGCGCTGGTGTGTGGGACCATGGTGTATCCGATAGAGTCGAAATATGGGAGAGCGGCATGAGCCAAGAAGGGAAGAGTAGGAGATGGGAGAGGGTGGGGGAGGAGAAGGGAGGGTATAGGAGCAGGGAGGGCATGGACACTCACCAGGAAGAACTCTGCAGCGCTGGTGTCAGGGGCCATGATGTAGCCGATAGAGTCGAAGTAGGGGAGAGCAGCGTCCGCAGCGCCGAAGAAAATGGGGTTACCGTCGGTGATGAGGAGGAGGTGCGTGAAGAGAGAGAACATCTTGGAGGAGGGCTGCTTCATCGTCGCAACCACTGACCGGCCGGCTAGTGCGTAGGAGTGGAGTGCCCGGGTTATGCGGAGGGCCATGGCCCCGTCGAGACTGCGGAGAGGGGATTGGGGGAAGGGAAGGGGGGAGGGAAAAAGAGCAAAGAGGGAAGAAGATGGGGTTGCCGTGGGTGATGAGGAGCAGGTGAGTGAAGCGAGAGAACAATTTGGAGGAGGGGTGCTTCATTGTTGCTACCACGGACCGGCCTGCTAGTGCGTACGAATGCAGTGCTAGATGTTCATTGTGATGCGGAGGGCCATGGCATGGCACCGTCGGGACTGGGGATAGGGAATTGGGGGACGGGTGTGGGGGACGGTGGCGGGAAAAAAAGGGGGGCAAATGTGGAAGTGGGAAGTAGATGGGGCTGCCGCTGGTGATGAGGAGGAGGAGGAGGAGGTGTGTGAAGGGAGAGAACATCCTGGCTGACGGCTGCTTCAACGTGGCATGAATACTTTTGAGGCGCCTCGAATCAGAAGGTGACAGGTGCTTCACGGTGACACGTGACAATGTACACACCACCATGAAGCAGGCGGCACTGGGACTGAGATGACCTTCTGGGGTCACCGTGACATCACATTCTGGGGTCACCGTGACATCACATTCTGGGGACACCGTGACATCACATTCTGGGGTCACCGTGACATCACATTCTGGGGTCACCGTGACATCACATTCTGGGGTCACCGTGACATCACATTCTGGGGTCACCGTGACATCACATTCTGGGGTCACCGTGACATCACATTCTGGGGTCACCGTGACATCACATTCTGGGGTCACCGTGACATCACATTCTGGGGTCACCGTGACATCACATTCTGGGGTCACCGTGACATCACATTCTGGGGTCACCGTGACATCACATTCTGGGGTCACCGTGACATCACATTCTGGGGTCACCGTGACATCACATTCTGGGGTCACCGTGACATCACATTCTGGGGTCACCGTGACATCACATTCTGGGGTCACCGTGACATCACATTCTGGGGTCACCGTGACATCACATTCTGGGGTCACCGTGACATCACATTCTGGGGTCACCGTGACATCACATTCTGGGGTCACCGTGACATCACATTCTGGGGTCACCGTGACATCACATTCTGGGGTCACCGTGACATCACATTCTGGGGTCACCGTGACATCCTGAGGTGACTTTTGAGTCGACTCAAAAGGCATGTGACAGTGTACTGTCCATGAAGCACCCGTCACTGGGACTGGACACTGGGCAGTCACCTACCGCTACTCACCCAGAGGTCGGTTCATCGAGCAGCAGCAGCGGCGGCGGGTTGACGATCATCTGCACCCCGATGGCCAACACACACCCCAAACCCAGTGTAACAGCGTAACAATGTAACAACCCCCTCATCACTCACCCGGGAGTCGGTTCATTCGAGCAGCAGCAGCGCCGGTTTGACGATCATCTGCACGCCGATGGTCAGCAGCCCGCCGAGCCACCACACACCCCCACCCTAACAACCCACGTGTCACCCACAGCCTACCCCAACCCACAGCCTACCCCGACCCACAGCCTACCCCGACCCACAGCCTATCCCGACGTTGGTTCGTCGAGCAGCAGCAGCGTAACAATGTAACACCCACCACTACTCACCCCGACGTGGGTTCATCGAGCAGCAGCAGCGGCGGGTTGACATGACAATCATCTGCACCCCGATGGCCAGGCGCCAGCCGCCTGAGCCACGACACCTCCCCACATGTGACCATGCCACGCACCCTGGCCGTCATAACCACACACAACAGCCTACCCCGACGTGGGTTCGTCGAGCAGCAGCAGCGGCGGGTTGACGATCATCTGCACCCCGATGGCCAACCGCCTGAGCTCGTTGTACAGCACCGCGTTGCGCCCTGTGCGCCCTATCACCTTGTCCGCACAGCTGGGGGGGTGATAGATGGATGGAGGATGGGTGGGGGTTTGGAGGGTTATGAGGAAGAGGGGGGGGGTAGGTGCACGTGTGCTGAGCTCGTTATACAGCACTGCGTTGCGCCCCGTGCGCCCTATCACCTTGTCCGCACAGCTGGGGGGGGAGGGGGAGGGAAGTGGTGCGCATGGGGGTGGGGGTTTGCAGGGTGATGGGGAAAGGGGGGTTGGAGGGGCTAGGATAGGACTGCACCAGCCGCCTGAGCTCGCTGTAGAGTACTGCGTTGCGCCCCGTGCGCCTTATCACCTTGTCCACACAGCTGCGGGGGTAATGGCGGGGGGAGGGGCGGGTAAAGGACGGGCAGGGGGAGGGGGATGGGGAGGGGAAGGGGGGGCATGGTGCCTGAGCTCGTTGTACAGCTCAGGGGGGAATGGGGAGGGGAAAGGGGGAGCACTGCGTTGCGCCCCGTGCGCCCTATCACCTTGTCGGCGCAGCTGCGAAGGAATCAGAGGAGGGGGGAGGGGGAGGGGGAGGGGGAGGGGGAGGGGGAGGGGGAGGGAGAGGTGGATTGGGAGGAACATACGCTTCCTGAGCCCGTTGTACGGTACTGCATTGAGAAACCACCATATGTGGGAAGCTAATTTTGAGTTAAGAATTTGAGGAACTTCATGCACACACAACCTGCCCGCCCGCCCCCGCACTCACCCACCCACCCATCCACCTACCCACCCACCCACCCATTCACGCACCCAGCCCCAGCCACCTTCCCTCCCTCCACTCACTGCGTGAGCTCCAGCGAGTCCAGCACATGCTCCACTCGCACGATCTGATCTATCTCCTCCGTGCCCTCAGGCAGGCGCAGCATGGCTGCAAACATGAGCGTCTCCTTCACCTGGTGTGGTCAAAGAGAGAGATTGAGAAGAGAGAATGGGTGAGCGGATAGAGGAGTGGAGAGGAGAGGGGAGACGAGGGGAAGGCGACCCTGTCTCTTGAATCTCCTCCGTGCCTTCAGGCAGCCGCAGCATGGCTGCAAACATGAGCGTCTCCTTCACCTGGTGGGGTGAGAGAGAGGGGAAAGGTAGAGGGGGGGAAGGGGGGGGGGGAGCGGGGGGGGTGTGGGGAAGATGGGGAAACGAGGAGTGATGGTGAGAGGAGGGAGAGAGGGAAACTGGGGGAGGTAGCTGACTCATAGATCACAGTAACGTGATCCTTACCGTTCGATCACCATGCAAGCCGGTCCCGACCGTTGATTCACCCTGCCGGACAACCCCCGCCGTCAGATCGCCCAACCGATGAGCCCTCGCCGTGTGAGGTTGGCCTGCAGGTCAATCCCCAACCGTCGGATCACCCATCCTAATCAATCCTCACCGTCAGATTGGCCTGCAGGTCCACGTCGTTCTCCACAAAGCCGATCTCGCGCCCAAGATTCGCCCCAAACGGCTCTCCGCTGAACTCTATGCTGCCCTCTTGTGCGCACCCCTCTAATACTCAATGCTCCCATGGATGTTAGGAGATACAGCTGACTCGGCCGGCTCACCCACGGCCAATCAAACCGATCCTCACCATCGAATCTCCCTTCCGGACAACACCAGCCATCGGATCACCCTTCAAGCCACTCCTCACCGCGAGATTGCCTGCAGGTCAATCCTCACCGTCCATCCACCCATTCAAACGAATCCTCACCGTCAGATTGGCCTGCAGGTCCACGTCATTCTCCACAAAGCCAATCTCGCGCCTCAGATTCGCCCCAAACGGCTCTCCGCTGAACTCTATGCTGCCGCGGAAGTTGGCGTCGTCCTGCAGGCGCCCCGCCAGCATGTGCAGCAGCAGGGACTTTCCTGACCCCTCGGGACTGTGAGGGAAAGGAGGGGAGGCGTAGGAAAGGCAGCAGAGGGCAAGTAAAGGGGGCACGGGGAGGAGGGGGGGGTTGGGGTGGTCCTGTGGCCCCCAAGCGGCTCTCCGCTGTACTCTATGCTCCGCTCCCCCGGAAGTTGGCATCGTCCTGCAGGCGCCCCGCCAGCATGTGCAGCAGAAGGGATTTTCCCGACCCTTCAGGACTGGGGGAGAGGGAGGGGAGGCGAGGGTACGGAGTGGAGCAGGAGAGGGAAGTTGGGGTCAGTCAGCCTGCAGGCGCCCCGCCAGCATGTGCAGCAGCAGCGACTTGCCAGTGCCCTCGGGACTGTTTTGTGAGGTGGGGAGAAGGAAGCGGGGGGGGGAGAGCGGAGCGGATGGGAGGAAATGGGAGGAAATCAAAGGTAACACGAGCAGCAAGAGGGGGGAGTTGGGGTCAGTCAGCCTGCAGGCGCCCCGCCAGCATGTGCAGCAGGAGGGAGCAGCATGACGTTCGCGGAACGTTCAACAGTGCTCCGAGGTCACCCCAACATCATCACCGCCTCACCTCACCCCACATGATTACAGCCTCACCTCATCCCACATCATCCCGCATCATCCCACATCATCCCACATCATCCCACATCATCCCACATCATCCCGCATCATCCCGCATCATCCCACATCATCCCACATCATCCCACATCATCCCACATCATCCCGCATCATCCCACATCATCCCACATCATCCCACATCATCCCACATCATCCCACATCATCCCACATCATCCCACATCATCCCACATCATCCCACATCATCCCACATCATCCCACATCATCCCACATCATCCCACATCATCCCACATCATCCCACATCATCCCACATCATCCCACATCATCCCACATCATCCCACATCATCCCGCATCATCCCACATCATCCCACATCATCCCACATCATCCCACATCATCCCACATCATCCCAAGCCCACTCGCCCCATGACGGCCAGCAGGTTGCCCTGCGCCACGCCCCCCGTGACGCTCATCATGACCTTCTTTCTCGCTGCGGTGATGGCCGCACAAGCGCTCAACCATTCCATTCCAACAGCAATCCACTCCACTCTCACCCCATGTCATGTCAGCAAGGAGATAGCCCGGCGCCACGCCCGCTGTGACGATCGCCATAACCTTGCTGCTGCTGCTGCTGCTGCTTTGGGCGCGGCTGGTGCTCTTCCAACCTCACCTCACAGCGTCCCACACACACGCTTCGCTTCCCATGAGCCCACACGCCCCATGAGCCCACACGCCCCATGAGCCAAGGCCAGCAAGTTGACCCGAGCCACGCCCCCCCGTGACGCTCAACATGACTTTGCTGCTAGTCGGGAACGAAACCCACTTCCACCCCATCACAGCTGCAGCAGCAACCCACTCACACTCACTCACTCACTCACGCACTCACTCACTCACTCACTCACTCAACCACTCATGACCTTCTTGCTGGTCGCACACGCACTCACCCATCCCTCCCACATCAACCATCCCAAAGACCCACTCCATCACAGCATCTAAAACACACTCACTCACCCCATGACAGCCAGCAGGTTGCCCGGCGCCACGCCCCCCGTGACGTTCATCATGACCTTCTTGCGGTAGATGGTGGCGCATGGCTGGTACACTGTTGTTCCCACACTCACCCCGACCCCAGCAACCATCCCACACTCACCCCATGACGGCCAGCAGGTTGCCCGGCGCAACCCCCCCCGTGACGTTCATCATGACCTTCTTTCGGTAGATGGTGGCGTCGTCCTCCGCGCGCACGCAGCACCACTTGGACTGGCGGGCGGGAGGATGGGGGGAATGGGGGTGGGGGAAGGACGGGGGTAAGGATGGGATGGGAGATGGTAAATGGTGGCGTCGTCCTCCGCGCGCACGCAGCACCACTTGGGCTGGGGCACGGGGGATAGGGAAGGGGGAAGATGGGGAAGAGGACGGGGGAATGATGGGGAAGAGGAAGGGGGAAAAGATGGGGAAGAGGACGGGAGGAATTATGGGGAAGAGGACGGGAGGAATTATGGGGAAGAGGACGGGGGGAATTATGGGGAAGAGGACGGGGGGAATGATGGGGAAGAGGACGGGGGGAATGATGGGGAAGAGGACGGGGGGAATGATGGGGGGATGATAAACGGTGGCGTCGTCCTCCGCGCGCACGCAGCACCACTTGTACTGGGGGATGGGGGGATGCAGAAACGGGGGAATGGGCGGAACGAGGGGAAATGGGGGAGCGGAGAGACGCGGGAACGGAGGGACGGGGTAAGTGAGAGACAGGGGAAAGGGAGAGAGAGGGGGAACGAGGCAGGCACAAGGGATGAACACAGGCTGCAGGCACAGAGCACTACAGCTAGGACCACTAGTGATTTCCATATCCAGGTACGCTCTAGATATCTTCATCACGCCCATTGGCTCCCGGCACGGAGTACTGTAGCTATTTTCAATAAGCCACAACGTGAGTTTTATGTTCTCTCTTTAAAACAAAAGACTAGTGATTCAATACTACGCTTCAGGGACGCACATTGGCTGCCGGCACGGAGTACTGTAGCCGTGTCCACGTCACCGACATCCCTTCCGCGACGAAACCCCTCTGCGACGGCTGCGACGCCAGAGCCTTAACGGCTGCGACAACTTTCCTGTCGCGCCGCTCCGTCTGTGCGATGACTGTGGGTGCCTTCCTTCCCGCCACCACCTTCGCGCCGCCATCTCCATCCGTTATGAGGTTCGACACTTCATGCATATCCTTATCCATTGTAACAGAAAGTGCTTATATCTGTAATGCGGCTATATAACGAAATACAAATGTTTACGCTATCATAAGAATCAAGCTACTGGCCTCGTGTTATACGCAAGAGAGACAGAAGCTACCTGATCTTGATTACCAGTAACACGTCCTGCTTCGGGCACAGAATAATTAACCGGATTCCTAGAGCATCCTAGTATGTAGCTACTACCGTGTCATAATATCTAGACCCTAGTCATACCCTTTCATGTGGTAGCAAGTTCTCAAGACATTTGCCTAACTACTACTGAATTAGGAACCACGAGGAAAAGGTGGTTCGTACAAAGCTCAAGGCTACAAAAGTCCTCGATATAATGGTTCTCAGGAGTGAAAACTTGAACAGTAAAGGTAAAGCCCTCCCACCAAAAGGCGGCTGCAGGGGTGGAGTATGACCAATCACGCGGGGCGAGGGAATGCCGCGTGGGTCATTTCCGTGGTCCAACTTCCAGGTATGGTGTCCCACGTGGTATCCAGCGGAATGACGACTCTCGGCGATTGGTTCCAATTCCAACCTGTAATGGAACTAAGGGAAGCACGACCTTCTCCGCTTGAGTGGCACCTCAAAGGAGAGCGAACGAGAGGGCGGGGCGTTCTCCAAGGTGATCATTGGTTCAAAAAACTTTCCACGATAGAAAACTGTTTCACACCTTTTTCACAGTAACGCATCAGTAAAAATGAACTCTGAGATGCCATGAAGTGACTTTGAATGGAACCTTATTGCGGAACCACAAGTTGTTTTACACGTCAGCCTCACAAGATTCACTTCACATGGAACAAGATGGTACTGTATTGTGCTCTGAAGCAGGCCTGTCGCTTGCTCTACACCCTGTTCTCGATAATTTCACACCCCCTAATTTCACACCCCGACTCGGGATCACCAGCAGGGGCTTTGGGCTGCCGAGCTGGCGAACCGTGAAGGATAATTGAGCTGACAACTGCAGAAATGACCGCTATTTATACTGTCCGCAGCCCAGAGAATTGGGGGAGATTGGGGATTCTTTCGGGTCGCAATCACAAGGTATCAATTTTCGTTGCACGGATTTGGGTTGGAAATTTGGGACTGCATTTGCTACAAAGGCATGTTACTTTCAAACCACGCGCATGTGTCGAATTTCCAACCCAATTGTGATTAGGTTTTCGATTTTGGGTGTGGGCACTCAGGATTACGATAAACGCAATCCTGACGTGACTGTTTTTCATTGGACACAAATATTTTTCAAGATCGTCAACACTGAGGAGGGTCATTTCAAGTCATTTTCATTCCCTGCCAGCACAGCTTTACCGCGCCTCGAGAGTGAAATTATCGGGGAGAATATTTGCCCCTTTAATTTCACACCCTCTCGGGCAAAAAACATCGCGGTTCGGGATGAGGGGGTGTGAAATTATCGAGAACAGGGCAACCCTGAATTACTCTAAACCCAGCCCAAGACCTGAATTACTCAATCGAAGTATTTCTAGGTTCGGCGGGCTGCCAGTTGGAGGTTCGGATGGGTTGAGTGACAGTCGAATCCTGAAAAAACAGCTTGCGACAGAAAATACTTTCGCCACAAACATGTTGACTTGCTGATTGGTTGTAAAAAGCAGGCAGGGCTCTTCATCCCAAAATCGACAAATCGGAGAAGCAACATACCAGGGAAACTGTGCACAGTTTGAGTAGACACGCATGCACTCGAACAAACATATTAGTTGCTTAGTCCCCTTCAGCAGGGCGCGACCTTAGATTCTATGCATACGCGGAAGAGCCGTTGGGAGCGAATGTCCGTGTGGACTGTACCGGCAAAGTGCGATGTTTAGGGTGAGGATAGCAATGACGTTACTGTAAATGCCAGTGCGCACGTGAGTTAGCGAGACACATCGAGGCCTGCACTGGCGATGGATTCTGTACTCTAAAAGTATAGGATAAAACACGGGCACTCGACAACGCCCGCAACCCATAGGTCACAGGGTGGAAGTAGCCATCGTTTGCAATGCGTAGCCCTCTTACGCCGCCCGTCGGTGCCGATTAGACGCCCACGCGCTAGAGGCGTTCTCAGCATCTGGCCGCCCGCCCTTCCCGGGAAGTCCCCTCCTCGCCGTTTGCTCGCGCCTGCCTTTCACATATCGCATGGTGAGAAGCTTCCCATCGCCCTCATTTCAGCTTCCCGTCGCCCTCATTTCAGCTTCCCATCGCCCTCATTTCAGCTTCACATCGCCCTCATTTCAGCTTCCCGTCGCCCTCATTTCAGCTTCCCGTCGCCCTCATTTCAGCTTCCCGTCGCCCTCATTTCAGCTTCCCGTCGCCCTCATTTCAGCTTCCCGTCGCCCTCATTTCAGCTTCCCGTCGCCCTCATTTCAGCTTCCCGTCGCCCTCATTTCAGCTTCCCGTCGCCCTCATTTCAGCTTCCCGTCGCCCTCGTTTCCCCTCCCGTCGCCCTCATTTCCATTCACGTCGCCCTCATTTCCCTTCACGTCGCCCTCGTTTCCCCTCCCGTCGCCCTCGTTTCCCTTCCCGTCGCCCACATTTCCCTTTCCGTCGCCCACAATTCCCTTTCCGTCGCCCTCATTTCCCTTCCCGTTGCCCTCAATTTCATTCCCGTCGCCCTCATTTCCCTTCCCGTCGCCCTCATTTTCCTTTCCGTCGCCCTCATTTCCCTTCCCGTCGCCCGCGTTTTCCTTCCCGTCGCCCTCATTTCCCTACCCGTCGCTTAGGGTCCCTTCCCGTCGCAAACATTTCCCTTCCCGTCGCCCTCATTTCCCTTCCCGTCGCCCTCATTTCCCTTCCCGTCGCCCTCATCTCCCTCAAGTCATCCCTCCCCCTCAACCGCCCTTCCTCTCATCAACCCATCCCCTCATCCTCCCTTCCTCTTATCTGCCCTTCCTCTCATCCTCTCGCCCTCTCATCCGCCCTTCCTCACGTCCTCCCATCCTCTCATCCTCCCTTCCTCTCATCCTCCCTTCCTCTTATCCGCCCTTCCTCTCATCCTCCTTTCCTCTCATCCTCCCTTCCTCTCATCCTCCCTTCCTCTTATCCGCCCTTCCACTCATCCTCCTTTCTTCTCATCCTCCCTTCCTCTCATCCGCCCTTCTCTCATCCTCTCACCCTCCCATCCTTTCTCCCTCTCTTTCGCGCCTTCCTCTCGTCCTCCCTCCCCGTCTTCCGCCCTCCCCCTCATCCGCCCTTCCGCTCCTCCGCCCTTCCTCTCATCCGCCCTTCTCTCTCATCCTCTCTCCTTCTCGTCCTCTCTCCCTCTCATCCGCCCTTCCTCTCGTCCTCCCTTCCTCTCGTCCTCCCTCCCCTTATTCCGCCCTCCCCATCATCCGCCCTCCCTCTCATCCTCCCTTCCTCTCATCCGCCCTCCCTATCATCCACCCATCCTCTCATCCTCCCTTCCTCTCATCCTCCCTTCCTCTTATCCGCCCTTCCTCTCATCCTCCTTTCCTCTCATCCTCCCTTCCTCTCATCCTCCCTTCCTCTTATCCGCCCTTCCACTCATCCTCCTTTCTTCTCATCCTCCCTTCCTCTCATCCGCCCTTCTCTCATCCTCTCACCCTCCCATCCTTTCTCCCTCTCTTTCGCGCCTTCCTCTCGTCCTTCCTTCCTCTCGTCCTCCCTCCCCGTCTTCCGCCCTCCCCCTCATCCTCCCTTCCTCTCATCCGCCCTTCCTCTCATCCGCCCTTCTCTCTCATCCTCTCTCCTTCTCATCCTCTCTCCCTCTCATCCGCCCTTCCTCTCGTCCTCCCTTCCTCTCGTCCTCCCTCCCATTCTTCCGCCCTCCCCCTCATCCTCCTTTCCTCTCATTCTCCCTTCCTCTCATCCTCCCTTCTCTCATCCTCTCTCCCTCTCATCCTCTCGCCCTCTCATCCGCCCTTCCTCTCGTCCTCCCTTCCTCTCGTCCTCCCTCCCATTCTTCCGCCCTCCCCCTCATCCGCCCTCCCTCTCATCCACCCTTCCTCTCGTCCACCCTTCCTCTCGTCCTCCCTCCCCCTCATCCGCCCTTCCTCTCATCCTCACTTCATCTCATCCTCCCTTCCTCTTATCCGCCCTTCCTCTCATCCTCCTTTCCTCTCATCCTCCCTTCCTCTCTTCCGCCCTTCCTCTCATCCGCCCTTCCTCTCATCCGCCCTTTCTCTCATCCACCCTTCCTCTCGTCCACCCTTCCTCTCGTCCTCCCTCCCCCTCATCCGCCCTTCCTCTCTTCCTCCCTTCATCTCATCCTCCCTTCCTCTTATCCGCCCTTCCTCTCATCCACCCTTCCTCTCATCCGCCCTTCCTCTTATCCGCCCTCCCTCTCATCCTCCTTCCTCTCATCCTCCCATCCACTCATCCTCCCTTCTCTCATCCTCTCTCCCTCTCATCCTCTGTCCCTCTCATCCGCCCTTCCTCTCGTCCTCCCTTCCTCTCGTCCTCCCTCCCATTCTTCCGCCCTCCCCCTCATCCGCCCTCCCTCTCATCCACCCTTCCTCTCGTCCACCCTTCCTCTCGTCCTCCATCCCCCTCATCCGCCCTTCCTCTCATCCTCACTTCATCTCATCCTCCTTTCCTCTTATCCTCCCTTCCTCTCATCCTCCCTTCTCTCATCCTCTCTCCCTCTCATCCTCTCGCCCTCTCATCCGCCCTTCCTCTCGTCCTCCCTTCCTCTTGTCCTCCCTCCCATTCTTCCGCCCTCCCCCTCATCTGCCCTCCCTCTCATCCACCCTTCCTCTCGTCCACCCTTCCTCTCGTCCTCCCTCCCCCTCATCCGCCCTTCCTCTCATCCTCACTTCATCTCATCCTCCCTTCCTCTTATCCGCCCTTCCTCTCATCCTCCTTTCCTCTCATCCTCCCTTCCTCTCATCCTCCTTTCCTCTCATCCTCCTTTCCTCTCATCCGCCTTTCCTCTCATCCTCCTTTCCTCTCATCCGCGCAAGGTTGGCGATCGAAGAGCATTGGAGGTGAGGAGAGAGGGGCACGCGCGGGGAGGCGAGAGGAGCACGCAGGGTGAGGAGTGAGGAGCACGCAAGGTGAGGAAAGAGGAGGCCTCAAGGTGAGGAGAGAGGAGCACGCAAGGTGAGGAGAGAGGAGCACGCAAGGTGAGGATAGAGGAGCACTCAAGGTGAGGATAGAGGAGCACGCAAGGTGAGGATAGAGGAGCACGCAAGGTGAGGATAGAGGAGCACGCAAGGTGAGGATAGAGGAGCACTCAAGGTGAGGATAGAGGAGCAAGCAAGGTGAGGATAGAGGAGCACGCAAGGTGAGGATAGAGGAGCACGCAAGGTGAGGATAGAGGAGCACGCAAGGTGAGGATAGAGGAGCACGCAAGGTGAGGATAGAGGAGCAAGCAAGGTGAGGATAGAGGAGCACGCAAGGTGAGGATAGAGGAGCACGCAAGGTAAGGTTAGAGGAGCACGCAAGGTGAGGATAGAGCAGCACGCAAGGTGAGGATAGAGGAGCACGCAAGGTGAGGATAGAGGAGCACGCAAGGTGAGGATAGAGGAGCACGCAAGGTGAGGAGAGGGGAGCCCACGCAGGGTGAGGAGAGAGGGGCACGCGCAAGGTTGGCGATCGAAGAGCATTGGAGGTGAGGAGAGAGGGGCACGCGCGGGGAGGCGAGAGGAGCACGCAGGGTGAGGAGTGAGGAGCACGCAAGGTGAGGCGTGAGAGGCATGTGTGGTGAAGAGAGAGGAGAACGAGTAGGTGAGGAGAGAGGAGCACGCGCGGGGGGGCTTGAGGGGCGCGCGAGGGGAGGCGAGAGGAGAACGAGTAGGTGAGGAGAGAGGAGCACGCGCGGGGGGGCTTGAGGGGCGCGCGAGGGGAGGCGAGAGGAGAACGAGTAGGTGAGGAGAGAGGAGCACGCGCGGGGGGGCTTGAGGGGCGCGCGAGGGGAGGCGAGAGGAGAACGAGTAGGTGAGGAGAGAGGAGCACGCGCGGGGGGGATTGAGGGGCGCGCGAGGGGAGGCGAGAGGAGAACGAGTAGGTGAGGAAAGAGGAGCACGCGCGGGGGGGCTTGAGGGGCGCGCGAGGGGAGGCGAGAGGAGAACGAGTAGGTGAGGAGAGAGGAGCACGCGCGGGGGGGCTTGAGGGGCGCGCGAGGGGAGGCGAGAGGAGAACGAGTAGGTGAGGAGAGAGGAGCACGCGCGGGGGGGCTTGAGGGGCGCGCGAGGGGAGGCGAGAGGAGAACGAGTAGGTGAGGAGAGAGGAGCACGCGCGGGGGGGCTTGAGGGGCGCGCGAGGGGAGGCGAGAGGAGAACGAGTAGGTGAGGAGAGAGGAGCACGCGCGGGGAGGCTTGAGGGGCGCGAGAGGGGAGGCGAGAGGAGAACGAGTAGGTGAGAAGAGAGGAGCACGCGCGGGGAGGCGGGAGGAGGCTGCACGGGGAGGCGAGAGGGGCGCGCGAGGGATGGCGAGAGGAGGCTGCGCGGGGAGGTGAGAGGCGGCAGCGCGGGGAGGCAAGAGATTCGCGAGCATTGAAGGCGAGAGGAGCATGCGAGGGGAGGCGAGAGGAGCACGCGCGTGATGGTGAGAGGAGGCCGAGCGGGGCGGTAAGAGGAGCGCGCGCTGGGATGCGATGGGATACCGCGCGGGAGGCGAGAAGAGCGTGCGCGGGGTGGCGAGAGGTTGCCGCACGGGCTTACCGGAACGGGGCGCGCGCAGGGAGGAGAAACGTGGGCTTGAGAAACAGGATTCCCGCGCGTGGAATCGTGGGCCTGACTGTCAGGATAGCGGGGCGTTGTGGGGACACGACGACGCTGAAAGTGGGTGGTCGCGGAGTGGAGCACGAAGCGCCGCAATGGGGCACGACGACGAGGAAGCGATGGGAGGGGATAGGGGTAAGGACGATGGGAGGGCAATGGCGACGGGGTCCACGGGGGAAACGAGGGTGACGGTGCGTCAAGGGGGAGGCCGATGTGAGGGGATTTCCTCCCTACGCCTTTTGATCCTGTTTAGCGCGACGTCTCGTAGGGTCCGATTCAAGCCTTTTACACTTGTGTCGAGCGCTGACAACTCTCGTGTTGAATCGGGGTCGAAGGTGGGAATGTGCTAGGGGCAAAAGCTTAGAGTCTCGCTTAGTAGCCGCACACGCATTCCTGAATTACCATTTCTAGGCAAACTGTGCACAGGCAATTCCCTTCTTCCTTCAGCAGAGGGTGGTTGGAACTCTCGCCAAGTTGAAGCGTTCTGCTCTACGACGGGGTCTTTGTGGGGTGCGACGTTTTCTGGTAACCTCACTGGCTCGGGAGGTGTTCCTTGGGCTCGGAAGGCGAACTGTGCACAGTTTGCCTTTTTTCATTTGTAATTCAGGTCTTGGGCTTTAAGAAGTTGAGCTGGCCCAAAACCAGCCCGGAAGCATCCGGGTAGGGGCTGATTTTGGCCCGTAAGAATCAGGGCTGGCCAGTAAGAATCAGGGCTGACTTCAGGCCTAGTGTATTTGCAGCCAGCAACATACATGCTTACAAGTGCTATGGAGTTACAACTAAATGTGTTTGAGGCGGATTCGTGGATAAGGGGTCAAGAAACTCCAAGGGGGCAGGGAAGGTAGTTCGGGAAAGGGGGGGGGGGGGGGGGGGGGGAGGGGAGGGGGGGTAACATACACGGAAATCCGGGGAAGGCCCAAAACCAGTCCGTTAGGATCCGGCCAAGGGCAAAACCAGTCCGTTTTCCTTACGGGCTTCATCGCAAACTAACCCTTAAAATCTCTGAGGTGCGTCAAACCCAGCCCTGAATTCTCAGGACAAACGGGCAAATGCCCGTGAATCGACAGGCCTGCTCTGAAGGCCCTGCATTAGTGAAAGACTCGCTCACTCAAGGTCACATGCTTTCCAAACCCATGCCACGTTCTCAACTAAGCACAACATAGCATGCATTGTAGGGACATCAAAGGTAGTCATCAATTATGTCCTACGTATCTATCTATGCTTCCATGTAAATGAACGAAGTGAAGATCCTGCAAAGACACGGACACGTTACAATAATTTGTGATCAACGCAGGCATGAATTTCAACACTGCAGGCCTTTGACATGTCAGGCGTACATGGAAAGACGATACGTGAAAAAAAAAGGTTTTACAATACCAAGTCGGATCTCCCAGAGTGTCTTGACTGTGCATGGACAGTTGCATATTAGAGAGTTTGTTATCTGTTACAGAGGTGCTCGGCAGAGTGTACTGCACTCACCAGAAGGATGTCATGTAGGTGAATGTTCCGAGGAACCCCATGGCGTTGGCCCACTTGAGAAGCGTGCAGCTGTCTTGACTGTAACGCGTACACCAGGACAGCAAGGAAAACAGGGGGGACAAGGAGCGGAGAGGGGCAGAAATGAAGGTGTGGGTTTAGGCAGAGAACAATAAAAAAGTGGCTGCACCATGGAAGAGTTGGAACAAACACGGGTGTGGAGGAGCATGTTAGCGAAACAGAGGGGGCACAAGCGAAAAAGGAAGGAGGGAAAGGGAGAGAGGAGAGGTGGGAGGATAGGTGGGGGAGAAGGGGAGACGAGGGGGGTGGGGGAGAGGGGGGAGGGGGGAAGTTGGGAGAGGGGGAGAGCTGGAAGTACAGAGGGAGGGGGGGAGAGGGTAGGGGAAAGGGAGAGGGGAGAGGGGTGCAAACCGTAGTAGTGAGGACAGGGTGGGCCGTTCGTGTATGAGGCTGGAGGAGTAGGCAGTGTGTGGCGGCTTCCCATGTTTAAAAGAATAGGAAAACAAAAACAAAAACTCACATGTATCCGAGGAGGAAGTTGGTGGAGTAGGAGGCGCACATGCAGCTTTGGGGGAGAGGGAGAGAGGGGGCAAGAGTGCGGGGCGTGCATCATCGTAACATCGTAACAGGGTGGTGGGACTCACATGTAGCCGAGGAGGAAGTTGGTGGAGTAGGAGCCGCACATGCGCGACGTGAAGGACGCTGACGCGCACGACGCGGCGAACAGCAGCATCATCATCATCTGCCGCGGGGGTGGGGGAGGGTGGGGGTGGGAGGTGGGAGTGGGAGGGAGGGTTGGCATCGGATCGTCGCTTCAGAATCGCCTTGACGAGCACGACGCGGCGAACAGCAGCAGCATCATCATCTGGCGAATGGGGGGGAGGCATCGAAGGGACTTCATTGAATCACCGTGACGTGCACGATATGGCGAAGTGAATTCCATACGGGTTTCTTGGCTTGGCGCATTCACCGACATGCAAGAGAGACGTTGAAATTGGAAACGTGGAAAGTCCTTTTGACAAGCGGCGAAACGACGTGGCAAGGAGGAGAGGTTCGGGTCAGAGGTTCGGATGAGAGGCTCAGGAGAAGTTCGAAGACAAGCCACGGAGGAGCGGTAGGGAGGAATAGGACGAGCATGAGGAGGAAGGAGAGGACGAGCCCCGTGACACCCGTTGACATTTGAGTTGAGTCGACTCAAAGAGAAGAGGTAGGGAGGAATGTTAAGAAGCTTCCGGACCGAGCAGAAGAAAGGCTTACGAAGCTTCCGAAGAGCTGCGAGCCGAGCGAGTCAAGCTTGACCCCGGCGACGTTGGCGGCGTGCACGAGCATGAGGATGAATGAGAGGATGAGCCCCGTGACGCCCGTTCCGAACAGAAAGGCCGTCACGTTGATGCTCTTCCAGGAGAAGTTGAGATAGCACAGGATTCTGGGGGGGGGGACGGGAGGAGAAGGGAGGATTAAAAGGTGAGGAGACACGGGGTTCGGGAGGGGAAAAGGGTGGGGAGGGGAACGATGAGGCCGCACGTGAACGCCGTCGCGTTGATGCTCTTTCACGAAAAGTTGAGGTGGCACAGGATGCTGGAACTGGGGAGAGGAGAGGCGGGGCGAGGCTCAGGGCAGTGAGAGGGGGGATGGAAGAATGTGGAAAGCAAATTGGAAAAAGAAGGAAGGGAGGAATGGGAGAGAGGAGAGGATCTTGGTGCATTCAACAGAAACGCAATGGCTGAACTTGAGGTGGCACAGGATGCTGCGCAGGGAGGGAGGGAGAGGAGGGGAAATGGGTGGAGGGGAGGAAAAGGGGGTTGGGAAAGAAGGCCGGGGAAAATGGGAAGGCGTGGAGGAGGGGAAGCGGGAAGGGGAAGGTCGGGAAAGGAGGAGAAAGGTTTGGAAAGGGAAGGTTTGGAGAGCACAATGAGGCGCATCGAACACGTTGGATGGCCGGACGAAACTACACGGAATGCTGCATTTTTTGGGAGCCGGACGGGTTTCCTCCGACCCGCCCTGGCCTTTCGTGCTAATAGTGTTACTATGCGACGTTTATCCTATTTCTGCGCTTCCGCCTTCGCGTGCGCTGCTCGCAGTTGCAGGAGCAGCGATTCAAAGGATTTATAGTTTTTAATGGAACGACGGCCATGATGACCAAGAGAGCTCTTCGTGGAGCTTGTAGCGAATCGCTACCGTGTTGGTCTTTTATATATACGGCAGATAAAAAATTATCAGCCACGTCGGCGGAAATGTTACGATGACGCAACGGATATCGCGTTACAGCGTCACCTGAAACGACTAAAAAACAACATTTGGAGTGTTCTTTTGTATTTTTTCTCTCATCTCACAGCAGAGAAACTCGCAACGGCGGCACATGAAGGGTAAGCGGAGATAAATTGAAAGGGAAGACAGAAACACTATCTCTATGGAGCGACAACTCCTGCAAAGAGAAAGAGAGCGAGAAAGAAAAGGTGTCTTTGACGAGAAAGGAGAGAATGGGAGTGGAGCGTGCCGTACGCGAAAGTTGCGGAGCAGAAGCAGCACTCGAGGAAGCGCAGCGCGAGGGGCAAAAGCTTGGCCGAGCTACCCGCCATGGCTGCGATGTTCGGCCGAGTGACAACCGTTACAGGTATTAGGATTAGTGACGACCGCGATGACAAGAACCGCGAGTAGGTTTATTGGCCGTGTGAGAGAATGAGTGCACAAATACTGCTTGTGTGAAGAATGTGTCTCGCTTTGGCAACGAGTAATTCGACAAGTCGTCAGAAGTTCCGACAAATTTTGGCCTCTGAGGATGGAATAGAATGTTCCGTGTTGTGTTGTTGTGAGAAGGGGAGTGCTGAGAAGGGGAGATCGGGGGAAGAGGGAAGGGGGATGGGGGGAAAGGAAGGGAAGGAGTGAGGGAGGAAAGTGAGGGAGTTGAGGGAAGCAGAAGAGGGAGAGGGAGGAGGGAGGTTGGAGTTGGGTTGGGAAGGGAACGGACGGATGAGTTTTCTTGGCAGGTCAGCCCAAAGATAGAAAGCAAGCACGTTGGAGCCGCGCCATCTGGTTTGCGCAGGGCACGAGCGCGGCTGGATGGTGAAATGGCGGGAACCTCTGCCTCTGTGAGTGACAGGGAGATTCTGGCGCGTCTTGAAGGCGGTCCGACTTTTCCACCTGTTGTATCCATGGGTCGAAACGAGCCCATCACGAAGATCGGACGGGTGAGGAGATGCGAGAAATGGGGCACCAAATTATGGGCACTTGTGATGTTCTGTTGAATTACTCAAAGTGCCCCTTGTCCACAACAAGGGGCACCGATCTAAAAACAAAAGCACCGACGTAGTTTTCTGCGTTTTAGAATAGCGTTACATAAAGAGCTACACGTCGTTTACGAAGATATTTCGGAGGCTTATTAGCTACAAGCCTAGTGCTTCAAGCCCTAATGACCTGAAATTATGCAGGAATTTATTTGCCGTTGCCCGATATCAAAACCCCATCAGCCTCCAGACCAGAAACTTCTCACAAGAAAAAATTGGCGTCCGCCAAGCCATGTTCTCGCGCACAGGTCATAGTGCGGCTCGAGCTGACCCCTCCTCCTCTCCTGTCTTCTCCAGTCTCCGACTCTGCACCCCACCGCAAACATTATCCACCCGCGCACGCCAACCCGCCCGCACGTACCCACTCCCCCCCTCTCCCAATCCTGCCCTCCCATTCCCTTCCCCTTCGACTTGCTGAACAGACAGCAGGGTTGCGCGTCCAAGTCGCTTCTCTAGACACTCTCTTCACCACAACCCGTCACATCGCATTTCCCTCGTGTCTCGCATTAGTAAAAGAAATACGTGTGTAGTAGCTCTATCTTCGCAGCAACACCCTCGCGCCTGACTGAACAACCCGCTTCCGAGTTGTCAAACAGTTGCTATCAGGAAGCATCACGCCCTGGGTGTCAACTTTTAACGACACAAGAGATATTATAGTCGTCGTCATCGTCGCCGCAGCCTACGCGCCAGTGCAGCCATGTCGGGAGACGGAAAGGATCGGAGCTCGTCGTCGTACCTCGTCATCCCAATCATCCTGCGCTTCTTGGAAATATGCTTCTGCATCGCGTCCTTCGTGTACGTCTCTCGCCTTTCGCACACGTTGGGCGTCATTCCCTCCATTCTCGGCCCCATTCCTATTCGCGCTCTATTCGCCGTTGGTCAGCCCGGTAGCCACGTATAAACCGCGGAAAAAGGGCTTTCTTTCAGTCAACTTAAAATAGAGTAAGTAACATCTCAGCCAGACACGACCGAGCCGCTTGGCTTCAAGAATTCTCAAATATCTCCTAGATTAGCGACGCCTCGAAAGTCTGGACACACATCATGATAGGGTAATGACGTTCACATGTGAAGTGAATAGCCCTCGTTCTTTCAACAAGCGCGTGAACTCTTCCATCTCATCACACACTCTCTCATCACACACTCTCTCATCGCACACTCACGCCACCACCTCCTCTCTACCCTACCCACCATCCCCCCTCTTCCCCCCCTCCCTCCCCTCCCCTTTGCCAGCATTTGACGTTCGTAAATATGAATCACAATGGTTCGAACCCCACCACGACTCCGTCGCATTCTCACACCATTCCCTGCTCTTTTGCCTTCTCTCCCCCTTCCCACTCCCTTGTGGTTCATCCACAAGGGCTTTCACCCACCTCACGCTATTACACTCCCACGCTATTCACTCCTCTTTTCCCTTCCCTCCCCCCACTCCCCCCCCTTCTCCCCACCTGCCTCCCCAGCGTGATGACGTTTATGAAGCTCAACTACAAGGGCTTTAACTCCACGGCCTACCTCTTCTCAATGGCCATCACGGGTCTCGTCCTCTCCGTCATCGGCGCGGCCGTCACGTTCGTCGGCCGCAAGCCGGCCATGGCCGTCAACGCCATCCGCATCCAGATGTACATTAGCTTTGTGAGTCAACAAGAGTCATGCCAAGTCAAGGGTCGAGCTTTATGAGTTGCGCGTTGCGGGTCTTGACATGTCAATGTCAACGCCGTCGGCATCCAGGCTCCACAATCAGCTTCTTGAGTCAACGCGAGTCATGTCAAGTCAACTCGATTCTCTAGTCAGCTCAAAAGCCTGTCATGGCCGTCAATGCTATCCGCATTTAAACGTTGACGTTGGCGAAACGATATCAAGCCCCGCAGCAGCTCCGTGAGCCTTCCTCTATCTCCAGCCCGAATCCCCTTTCTCAAGTCGCACCGCTTTCAAAACTGCTCTCTCCATCTCAACCCACCTGCATCTCTTCATACCCAGCCCTCTCGTTTCTCGTTTCTCGGGTCTCCGGTCTCAGCGCTCTCAATATCCACCTATCGCTCATGTTTTGAGACCTCGTCGTCAACGCGCAACCGTTTCCCCCTCCGCATCTGCGCACGCGCGCCCTCCGCCCTCTTCCCTCCTGGCCTGTGTTTGCCGGCAGATGATGCTGATGCTGCTCTCCAGCGCCGCTGCTACAGCCAAGCCAGGCAGCTTTCGAGTGAACGCCTGCTACAACGGGCATTGAGACGTCTCAAAACCCGTCTCGCCTTCTTGCCCATGCGCTTCCCCCCTGGTCTCTGCTTGCCGGCAGATGATGCTGATGCTGCTCTTCGGCGCGGCTGCTACAGCCAGCAGCTTCCGAGTCAACGCGTGCTACAATGGGCTGGCCCTGCTCAACCTGCTGTGCGTACCCCGCTCCTCCCTCCCCTGCTCCCCTGCTCCCCTGCTCCTTTCACCCACCTCTCTTTAATCACCGCAAAACTCTTCCGTCCGAGTCAACGCGTGCTACAACGGGCTGGCCCTGCTCAACCTGCTGTGTGTACCCCGCTCCCACCTTCAAGTCATTATTGTATTTTATTTCGTTTTCATCTCCTTTAATCTGTCAATCCCCACCAATGCTCACCAATTTTTGTGCCCCAGTACTCTCAGACTTGGCATTTTTCCCTTCCCCGCACCCTTCCCCGCTGGCCTTCCCCGTGCCCTACTCCGAACTTCCCTCTGCTCGCCGGACCCTTATCCCGCGCCAGTGGTGATGACTGCACGCTGCTGGCATGGTCGGTGGCCATGGGATATATGGCCTCCTTCACCTATATTGGCTCCTTCTGGTACGTCTCCCTTCACCTATATTGGCTCCTTCCGGTACGTCTCCTTGTCCTCTTGGCTCGTCATCTTGTTGGCCTGGTTTTGTGATGCATTGTTTCTGGATATTACCTGCACTATCATGGGTTGGATTGGAGAATAAAGGTCCTTCACAACCTCTTTTGCCTTCTCGTCATCTTCTTGGCTCGCCCACCGAGTGGTGGCTCCCATATCTATCGTCGATTTATCCTTTTTATATTATTTTTTTCTTTGCTCCATTCTATCGACAACGTCCTTGCCCTTACACCAACAGGCACTTCTTCTTTCTTCTTGCCAATGACCACTAGATGACCAGCTGCATGATAGTTGTGATGGCGAAACACTAGTTCCCCAATGGTTAGTGAGCAAGCAAATTTGAGAGTGGATGCCTTCCATATTCTTTGACTCGACTGCCATTGGAAACTATTTTAAATGTAAAGCAGTAGCATTGTGCAGAATTTGTTACACCTGAGGAATGCAAAACATGTAGGCCCATGAAAAAATAGAGATGGAGCGTAGTATATACTGGTAGTGAGGACTGCATTTGTGAGGAAGATGACATACCCCATTTGGAATTCCCGCCAAGAATGTCAATGTCGGTCATCACACGTCAGCAAATGAACCGAACTTCAGCAGAAATGACATACGTGACAGCAGTGGAGAGGCCACAAATGACAGCATTGCTTTTGGATCCCACGTCATGAAATCCAGAAGGTTCGATTTCCCCCATTTTCACTGCCCGATACGTGCCAGCCTATGTGGATTATTGCGAATGGTTCAGCATCTGATTACGGTCAGTCTCGGTTTCCATTACTTGTGTGGCG